CACAGCATATCCCCCCAACTGCCGTTGTCCTGGTCCTAGAGTACACACGGCATATCTTCCCTACTCTCGGTGTCCTGGTCCTAGAGTACACACGGCATATTTTCCAAACTGTCGGTGTACTGGTCCAAGAGTACACACAGCATATCTTCCCTACTGTCGGTGTCCTGGCCCTAGAGTACACGAGGCATATCTTCCCAACTATTGGTGTCCTGGTCCTAGAGTACACACAACATATCTCCCCAACTGTCGATGTACTGGTCCTGGAGTACACACGGCATATCTCCTCAACTGTCGGTGTCCTGGTCCTAGAGTACACACAACATATCTTCCCAACTATTGGTGTCATGGTCCTAGAGTAAACACAGCATATCTTCCCAACTGTCGATGTACTTGTCCTAGAGTACACACAACACATCATCACAACTATAGGTGTCCTGGTCCTAGAGTACACACAACATATCTCCTCAACTGTCAGTGTACTGGTCCTAGAGTACACACAGCATATCTCCCCAACTGTCGGTGTCCTGGTCCTAGAGTACACACAACATATCTTCCCAACTATCGGTGTCCTGGTCCTAGAGTACACACAAAATATCTTACCCACATGTCGGTGTCCTGGTCCTTGTGTACACACAGCATATCCCCCCAACTGCCGTTGTCCTGGTCCTAGAGTACACACGGCATATCTTCCCTACTGTCGGTGTCCTGGTCCTAGAGTACACACGGCATATCTTCCAAACTGTCGGTGTACTGGTCCAAGAGTACACACAGCATATCTTCTCTACTGTCGGTGTCCTGGCCCTAGAGTACACACGGCATATCTTCCCTACTGTCGGTGTCCTGGTCCTAGAGTACACACAGCATATCTTCCCAACTGTCGGTGTACTGGTCCAAGAGTACACACAGCATATCTTCCAAACTGTCGGTGTACTAGTCTTAGAGTACACACAACACATCTTTCCAACTGTCGGTGTCCTGCTCCTAGAGTACACACAGCATATCTTCCCCAGCTGACGGTGTGTGGGTCCTAGAGTACACACAACATATCTTCCCAACTTTCGGTGTCCTGGTCCTAGAGTACACACAGCATATCTCCCCAACTGTCGGTGTACTGGTCCTAGAGTACACACAACATATCTTCCCAACTGTCGGTGTACTAGTCCTAGAGTACACACACCATATCTTCCCAACTGTCGGTGTACTGGTCCTAGAGTACACACAGCATATCTTCCCAATTGTCGGTGTACTGGTCCAAGAGTACACACAACACATCTTCCCAACTGTCGGTGTACTGGTCCAAGAGTACACACAACACATCTTCCCAACTGTCGGTGTACTGGTCCTAGAGTACACACAGCATATCTCCCCAACTGTCGGTGTACTGGTCCTAGAGTACACACAGAGCACACGGGTTGGTTAGGACAACCCAGAAGGACCTGCTAGTGTTTTACTGTGTATTTACGCAAAAGTGAGATATATTCTATCATGTAATTTACATACCCGTCGTAAATTATCCTGAAACTACTTCCTGATACATTTGTGTGTATATGTTTCTCAGTATGCTTTTGTCTACATACTCCCTGGTACTTATTTTGTTTACAGTTACTGGTATGTTATTGTGTGTGTACTCCCTGTATATACTGGTATATATACGCACACACATAAGCACCCTGGAATATTATTATGTGTATTGTACCTTTTATGTTATTATGTATATATTCTCTGGTATGTTAATTTGTATGTATAGTCTCCTCTGTATGCTATGTATGTTTTCCTTGGTTTGTTATGTATATATTCCCTGGTGTGTAACTATATATACACCCTGGTATGTCATTGTGTACACACCCTGGTATGTTTTCTTGTATACACACGCTATTGTGTTATTATATCTGCCAGCGGGTATGCACGCCATATATGATAATCCTAGGTGCCTTCTAAGCATGTATACTGTGGCTTAACAATTATGTCGAAGACAGATCACATTGAAATTGAAAAAAACGCTGTGGCCAGGTAGGGTAGCCTAGTGTTAAAGCGCTCGCTCGTCACGCCGAAGACCCGGTTCAATTCCCCACATGGGAACAATGTGTGAAGCCAATTTGTGGTGACAAACGTCGAAACAAGATCAGGGCGAACCGGGATTCAAACATAGGTTTCTGGCGTGCCGAACGGACGCAACTCTGCACAGCGCATTGCGGCGCCTTTGATTACTTGGCCACACGTGTCCCCTATTTCCCACCAAGAACATTCATTCATTCATTCATTCATTCAAACTAGTTATCATGATATGTTATCATGTTTCCACAATGTTTACACAAGCTGGTCACTTGATTGTCTGGTTTGTTGACAGGCCGCCGTCGCATGGTAGGAGTACTGCTGTGCAGCGTCACGCAGTGCATACTTACTTTCTCATGCAAATTGTGTGAATAGCGTGTGCTACCTACCAGGACATTCTTTCTTGAACACCTGGTGCCACTGGTTTTCAGTGGTCCATTCATATAGTTTTCACAGCTATTTGTCCTTCACGCCAAGTGGAATCTGTGTCGACTGAAAATCTAGGCTGGTTATTCTCTTGCATTGACGTTATATCTTAATCGTGTTTACACAGCCTGGTATGTTTTCATGTTTACACAACCTGGTATGTAATCATGTTTACACAACCTGGTATGTTATCATGTTTACACAACCTGGTATGTTATCATGTATACACAACCTGGTATGTTATCATGTTTACACAACCTGGTATGTTATCATGTTTACACAACCTGGTATGTTATCATGTTTACACAACCTGGTATGTTATCATGTTTACACAAGCTGGTATATTATCATGTTTACACAGCCTGGTATGTTATCATGTTTACACAACCTGGTATCTTATCATGTTTACACAACCTGGTATGTTATGACGTTTACACAACTTCGTATGTTATCATATTTACACAACCTGGTATGTTATCATGTTTACATAACTTGATATGTTTTCCTGTCTACACAAACTGGTATGTTATCATATTTACACAACCTGGTATGTTATCATGTTTACACAACCTGGTACGTTATCATATTTACACAACCTGGTATGTTATCATGTTTACACAACCTGGTATGTTATCCTGTTTACACAACGTGATATGTTTTCCTGTTTACATAACCTGGTATGTTATCATATTTACACAACCTGGTATGTTACCATATTTACACAACGTGATATGTTTTCCTGTTTACACAACCTGGTATGTTACCATATTTACACAACCTGGTATGTTACCATATTTACACAACGTGATATGTTTTCCTGTTTACATAACCTGGTATGTTATCATATTTACACAACCTGGTATGTTACCATATTTACACAACTTGATATGTTTTCCTGTTTACACAACCTGGTATGTTACCATATTTACACAACCTGGTATGTTACCATATTTACACAACGTGATATGTTTTCCTGTTTACATAACCTGGGATGTTATCATATTTACACAACCTGGTATGTTACCATATTTACACAACTTGATATGTTTTCCTGTTTACACAACCTGGTATGTTACCATATTTACACAACGTGATATGTTTTCCTGTTTACATAACCTGGTATGTTATCATATTTACACAACCTGGTATGTTACCATATTTACACAACTTGATATGTTTTCCTGTTTACATAACCTGGTATGTTATCATATTTACACAACCTGGTATGTTACCATATTTACACAACTTGATATGTTTTCCTGTTTACACAACCTGGTATGTTATCATGTTTACACAACCTGGTATGTTACCATATTTACACAACTTGATATGTTTTCCTGTTTACATAACCTGGTATGTTATCATATTTACACAACCTGGTATGTTACCATATTTACACAACTTGATATGTTTTCCTGTTTACATAACCTGGTATGGTATCGTGTCTACGCAACCTGGTATGTTATCATGTTTACACAACTTGATATGTTTTCCTGTTTACACAACCTGGTATGTTATCATATTTACACAACCTGGTATGTTATCATATTTACACAACTTGAAATGTTTTCCTGTTTACACAACCTGGTATGTTATCATGTTTACACAACCTGGTATGTTATCATGTTTACACAAGCTGGTATGTTATGACGTTTACACAACTTGGTATGTTTTTATGTTTACACAACCTGATATGTTATCATGTTTACACAACTTGGTATGTTATGTTTTACACAAGCTGGTATGTTATCATGTTTACACAACCTGGTATGTTATCATGTTTACACAACCTGGTATGTTATGACGTTTACACAACTTCGTATGTTTTTTATGTTTACACAACCTGATATGTTATCATGTTTACACAACTTGGTATGTTATGTTTTACACAAGCTGGTATGTTATCATGTTTACACAGCTAGTATATTATCAAGTTTACACAACTTGGTATGTTATAATGTTTACACAAGCTGGTATGTTATCATGTTCACACAATCTGGTATGTTATCATGTTTACACAAGCTGGTATTTTATCATGTTTACACAAGATGGTATGCTATGTTTTACAAAACCTAGTATGTTATCATGTTTATACAACCTGGTATGTTATGTTTTACACAACCTGATATGTTATCATGTTTACACAAGCTGGTATGTTATGTTTTACACAAGCTGGTATGTTATCATGTTCACACAAGCTGGTATGTTATCATGTTTACACATCCTGTTGTGTTATCATGTTTACACAAGCTGGTATTTTATCATGTTTACACAAGCTGGTTTGTTATCATGTTTTACAAAACCTGATATGTTATCATGTTTACACAAGCTGGTATGCTATGTTTTACACAACCTGGTATGTTATCATGTTTACACAACCTGGTATGTTATGTTTTACACAAGCTGATATGTTATCATGTTTACACAAGCTGGTATGTTATCATGTTCACACAATCTGGTATGTTATCATGCTTACACAAGCTGGTATGTTATCATGTTTACACTACCTGTTGTGTTATCAGACAGATGGGGACGTCCGTCTCGCAGGAGAGAGCTCCAGGAACAGGGGGAGGTTAGAAGTCTTCTACAACAGCAGGTAACAGTTGTCATGACGACTCTGTATAGTTTCTAGTGCAGTGACAACTTTTATCAGCTCGAGTATAGCTTCAAGAGCAGTGACAATTTTTATCAGCTCGAGTATAGCTTCAAAAGCAGTGACAATTTTTATCAGCTCGAGCATAGCTTCAAGAGCAGTGACAACTTTTATCAGCTCGGATATAGCTTCTTGAACAGTGACAACTTTTATCAGCTCGAGTATAGCTTCTAGAGCAGTGACAACTTTTACCAGCTCGGATATAGCTTCTTGAACAGTGACAACTTTTATCAGCTCGAGTATAGCTTCTAGAGCAGTGACAACTTTTACCAGCTCGAGTATAGCTTATAGAGTAGTGGCAGCTTTTACCAGCTCGAGTATAGCTTATAGAGTAGTGACAACTTTTACCAGCTCGAGTATAGCTTATAAAGCAGTGACAACTTTTATCAGCTCGGGTATAGTTTCTAGAGCAGTGACAACTTTTATCAGCTCGAGTACAGAGCAGTGACAACTTTTACCAGCTCCTGTATAGCTTCTAGAGCAGTGACAACTTTTATCAGCTCGAGTATAGCTTATAGAGTAGTGACAACTTTTATCCGATAAAGTAAAGTCTCCAGAGAATTGCCAACATTTCCCAGCTAGAGTACAGTTTCCGTGGAGAGAACAGATCTGTAACAGTGTAAATCGTTAGTCCACTTCTGTGTCTGACACAACATGAATCAGATTATGAAGGAAGACTACAGTGACACTGGAGTCCTAACATGTCTTTATCCCCTGACAGATGGGGATCCGTCTGTGACGACAGCTTCGACGTGGACGCTGCCATCGTCGTGTGTCGTCAGCTGGGGCTGCCCACGTCACGCCCCAATATCGAAATTAAAAGACCCGGTCCAAGTTTCTATAATCTGGATGACGTCAGATGCACGGGCAACGAGGAGGCGTTGGGAGATTGTCAACACAGAACTTGGGGCACCTCAGACTGCTCAGCTGAAGAACACGTACTCGTTGCATGTGCAGGTGAAATTGGAATCCTGATTTTATTATTCAAAAAGGAAAGGGCAAAAGAAATTATGTGGATAAGGTATATGTCATGCAATACGGCGTCCATGCACAGGTCAGAAGGTCCAGCACACCACTTTTAAAAGAATCAAGTAATGTTCAAGATTCGGTAACGGGCATGCCCATTGAAGGCAAGTCGTGATATGGCTGAAATACTGCCGATGTGACTTTAAACTGTAACTCACTCACTCTCATTGAAGCAACATTAGATAGCCAGCAACGGCAACACCCAGGGAAACCAGCAACAGCAACATTTAGGAACCATCCACAACAACATTAGGCAGCCAGCAACAGTAACATTCAGGCAAAGCAGCAAAAGCAACATTTAGGAACCATCCACAACAACATTAGGCAGCCAGCAACAGTAACATTCAGGCAAAGCAGCAAAAGCAACAGTCAGGCAACCACCAACAGCATCACTCAGGGAAACCAGCAACAGCAACCTTTAGGAACCATCCACAACAACATTAGGCAGCCAGCAACAGTAACATTCAGGCAAAGCAGCAAAAGCAACAGTCAGGCAACCACCAACAGCAACACTCAGGGAAACCAGCAACAGCAACCTTTAGGAACCATCCACAACAACATTAGGCAGCCAGCAACAGTAACATTCAGGCAAAGCAGCAAAAGCTACATTCAGGCAACCATCAACAGCAACAGTCAGGCAACCATCAACAGCAACAATCAGGCAACCATCAACAGCAACATTCAGGCAAACCAGCAAGAACAACATTCAGGCAACGAGAAACAGCAACATTCGGGCAACCATCAACAGCAACATTCAAGCAACCATTAGCAGCAACATTAGATAGCCAGCAACAGCAACATTCAGGCAAAGCAGCGACAGCAACATTTAGGCAACCATCAACATTAGGCAGCCAGCAATAGTAATATACAGGCAAACCAGCAACAGCAACATTCAGGCAGCCATCAACAGCAACATTCAGGCAAAGCAGCAAAAGCAACATTCAGGCAACCATCAACAGCAATATTCAGGCAGCCATCAACAGCGACATTCAGGCAACCATCAACAGCAACATTCAGTCAGCCATCAACAGCGACATTCAGGCAACCATCAACAGCAACATAAGACAGCCAGTAACAGCAACATTCGTACAACCATCCACAGGATCATTCAGACAAAGGGTGGGCTATTACACCTTGGTGTGCTAGAGACACGATAAGAGATGATATCATCCCTCAACACCGGTCATGGCACCTCGTCTGATGACCATGAAATCGGTTCAACTGACGAAAACCAGACCCTCTCCATCAAGTTTTCACCTCCACAAGGATCATGTGGCTCAATGGTATCGCCTTGCCTTCTTCCCCTAGACACGTGTCCTGCAATGGTTGCGGACAGAATCTGTGCCTCTTCCGTTTTGCAAATGATTTGGTTTTGCCAGCGGAGGTGGTCAGTCAGTGGAGAGCCTCACCAGATCTCGGGAGGGCAAGCCCATCCGCATGAAGTCTGTCACGAACTACCGCCTCCGTGGTCTAGTGGTAGAGCGTCCGCCCGAAGAACGAAAGGTCCGGATACCAAAAGACGTTAAAAAATGTACTTGTTGTTACCCTGCCTGGCGTTCGGCATCAAGAGGCCAAAACAAGGACTGGTCGGCTCGGAGTCTGTATACAGTGTGGGGTATTCATGTTAAACTGCGGCATGGTATCTCAGTGGGCTATTCCTATAAATCGGCATCAGTCCGGACTAGTACAAGCAGCCACACACACACACGTCGCTATATAAGTGCAATAATATTGGACGCGACTTTAAACCCCATTTCACCTCGCCTGACCTGTCATGAACCAAGTAGACATCATGAACCCTGGTAAACAGTAGACCAAAAAGTGCAGACCTAAATCATCTGTATTATCGTAGCCAGCATTTGTAAACGGACAAATGAAAATAACAATACTATTTGACACGCATCACAGTGTCTTTAAGCACGAGCATTTTACCAGCTCTGCAAATTACTTTGACTGTGCAGAACGTAGTATTTGTCAACTACCATATAAACATGTTTTGCTTGATTTCTTCCCAGCTGACCCGTGTAAAGCTGACTCCTGTGCTGTGGGCGGCGTGTGTCGACATGTGATGGACAGCAACTACATATGTGACTGTATACCCGGGTACACGGGCACCCGATGTCAGACGGGTGGGTTATCTTATTTTCTTTCACATCTGATAAAAAAATTAATCTAATAATCAATAAGTAATATACGATGTCTTAATGATCACGTGTCCATCCTATGTCTGCAAAACGAGTCTTTCGGATATTAATGTTTGTGAATTTGGAAAAGAATGGGAACAAATAAGTGAGATTAAAATGTGTTGACTCTTGTTGTTAGACGTGGACGAGTGTGTGAGCGCCACCAACGGGTGCAGCCACTCCTGCGTCAATACCCCCGGGGCCTACCACTGTCAGTGCCCGGATGAGCTGCAGCTTGGAGCGGACAACCACACGTGCTATTGTAGGTGACTTCTCTTGTTTCAAAATATTTTGTTTCGGTGAATCCAAACTGACAATGTTACATTATTCTTTGTGTGCATGTCTTGTTCATCTGCAGGGCGGTCGGTTGGCCTAGTGGTTAAAGCGTTCGCTCGTCACGCCGAAGAGCCGGGTTCGAATTTAGACATGGGTACAATGTGTGAAGCCCAATTCTGGTGTCCCCCGCCGGGATATTGCTAGAATATTGCTATATTTCCATGATGGCAGTGTGAACAGAAGACGTCGTCAGTTACGATACATAACGGTTTATTCATTGTAACCAGTTAATACATTGTAACCGGTTCATACACTGTAACCAGTTAATCCATTGTAACCGGTTCATACATTGTAACCGGTTCATACATTGTAACCAGTTAATACATTGTAACCGGTTCATACATTGTAACCAGTTAATACATTGTAACCCGTTCATACAATGTAAACCGGTTCATACATTGTAACCAGTTAATACATTGTAACTGGTTCATACATTGTAACCAGTTAATACATTGTAACCCGTTCATACAATGTAACCGGTTCATACATTGTAACCAGTCAATACATTGTAACCGGTTCATACATTGTAACCGGTTCATACATTGTAACCGGTTCATAAATTGTAACCAGTTAATACATTGTAACCGGTTCATACATTGTAACCAGTGTAAGCGTGGGTTGCTGAAGACATATTCTACCCGGGTCCTCACGGTTCTTACTCTCGTATACCAGCTGTGAATACACACATGTACCTTCTGAAGATACTCTGATGTACCAGCTGTGAAGCCGTGTCTTGTGTTGTGTCCATTTGCTTGTAGTCTCTTGTGTTTGAACGTGTGCGTGTGTCTGTCCCTAGCTGAAGGTGTGCACGTGTCCTGCACGTCCCAGAATATGCAGGTGGAGTTGGACAAACGACATCTCCTTGGTCTACATGGACGGTACTTGACGTTGTGGGACAGGACATGTTCTGCCACGGACACGCCCACCCACGTGTATGTCACAGTGCCGCTGGAGGGGTGTGGCACTCGGGTCACGGTAAGGTTTTTCTTGTCTTTTTTTTGTTGTTTTTTTTACAAAAAAACCATCACCATTAGCGACGTCGTTATCATCATCATTATCGCCGTCATCTGAGTGCTCCTTTGGATTAGGCAGCAGTCATCTTTAACCTCATTATCTTACAATTAAAGTTTTCAAAGAAAATATTGACGATATCATTTCGGGGAATATTATACCGGAATTGTAGGTGTGAATTGCCAAGTTGAGGCCGTTGTAATCATTCAAGTTAGTGTAACACGGTAGTATATATCGTTTCAATGTAGTAAATAGTGTGACTACGTATTATGTTGTGTGACGAGTGAGTGAATTCGGTGTAACAACGAGGAAAGCACGAATTGATGCAGGTCTTAGACGTTTACCACTTCGGTGAAACCCACGAGCAGGGATATGGTGCTGACAAAGCTAGAAACGTAATCAGGGCGAACCTGGATTCGAACCCACAATCATAGGTTTTTGGTGTAGCCAAGGGACGCAACTCTGGACAGCGAATTGCAGTGCCTTAGACGACTGGGCCATCTTGCCTCCAGAGTGACAATGTAGTATAAAGCGTGACAATGTTATACATTTATCGTGAAAATGTAGTGCACATTATGCCAACGTCTATAGCGTGACAATATAGCATGTAGCGTGACAACGTAGTATATAGTGTGACAATGTAGTATATAGTGTGACAATGTAGCTTGTAGCGTGAAAATGTAGCATGTAGCGTAACAATTTAGTATATAGCGTGACAATGTAGCATGAAGCGTTACAATGTAGCATGAAGCGTGACAATGTAGCATGTAGCGTGACAATGTAGTATATAGCGTGACAATGTAGCATGTAGCGTGACAATGTATTATATAGTGTGACAATGTAGCTTGTAGCGTGAAAATGTAGCATGTAGCGTGACAATGTAGCATGTAGCGTGACAATGTAGCATGTAGCATGAAAATGTAGCATATAGCGTGAAAATGTAGCATGTAGCGTGACAATGTAGTATATAGCGTGACAATGTAGCATGTAGCGTGACAATGTATTATATAGTGTGACAATGTAGTATATAGTGTGACAATGTAGCATGTAGCGTGACAATGTAGTATATAGCGTGACAATGTAGCATGTAGCGTGAAAATGTAGCATGTAGCGTGACAATGTATTATATAGTGTGACAATGTAGTATATAGTGTGACAATGTAGCATGTAGCGTGACAATGTAGTATATAGCGTGACAATGTAGCATGTAGCGTGACAATGTAGTATATAGTGTGACAATGTAGTATATAGTGTGACAATGTAGCATGTAGTGTGGAAATGTAGCATGTAGCGTGACAATGTAGCATGTAGCGTGACAATATAGCATGTAGCGTGACAATGTAGCATGTAGCGTGACAATGTAGTATGTAGTGTGAAAATGTAGCATGTAGCGTGACAATGTAGTATACAGCGAAGAAGTTCTCAGGTCAGATGTTTCCATGGTTACACCCGATCTCTCTCTACTGTCTGATGCTGTAACAAAACCAAGGATTCATCATCCATCCTCCCTTGAATGTTTGCAATCTCAATATGTGTAATAATACAGAAAATAATGAGATGGTCCCTGTTTTATTTTGTCATCTCACCTCTTATTTGTCCGACAGCAAGACGGCGATGCATTTGTCTACGAGAACCAGGTGCAGTCGCACACCGTACCGGTGCAGGGATTGGTGACGAGGGTGAGGGACGTCAACATCACGGTCCGCTGCTACTACGGCAGCAACATCACAGCAGGGAACTTCTACGTTGTCGACACCGGCGAACTGCACTTCACCGACCACGAACAAGGCGTCTACCAGATCAGGTGCGGAGGTTGCATATACAGATCTAGTATAGGTTTGGACATTTTCAAACATGTCAAACAAATCAACCAATACTCAATACTCATCAATCCATTAATTAATCCATCAACAAGTCAATCCATCCATAATCATCAATCCATGCAACCATTAATAATCACCAATCCATCAATCAATCAATCCATCCATAATAATATTCAATCATCCATTCATCAATAATCATCAATCAATCCATTAATAATCAATAATCAAATCCATCATCATAATAATATTTTTATATTTTAAGGTCAATATGAACATAGTGATAGAGAAAGAATCGACTCAACAATGCTGTCAAGAAAAACAATTTATAATTGCATAACTGAAATGTGTAGATACACGCTAGTTCCTAAAATGTCAATATCGTTAGGTGGGAGCTCCCATCTCAGCTACCCCCAAAATTGTACAGTTGTTTCACTCTTTCTATAAGTAGGGGCGGCGGGGATGTGGAGCGGTTAAAGCGTTCGCTTGTCACGGTGAAGACACAGGTTCGATTCCCCAATATTTGCTTAAAGCGGCGTAAAAACATACTCACTCACACACCAGAAGTATATCAACCATCCTAATGTAATATTAAATACACTATGCCATTTAGAAAACGTTGTTGTTCGTTCACATAAGTGACTTAGCCGTGTGAATATGTCCTGTGCCCTTGTAGTGATACAGGATCTGGTAAGGCCACGTGATGTCCAGTGTGTGTGATAACGGTTCCACAGTCTTGTAATGGTGCTTGGAACTATGTGAAAAACCTGCCGAAGATTATTCTTCTGTTTGCTGGCGGCCGATGGCGTTGTTGCGTTGGACGTCCGTCATGATTCATTGTACACTTTAAAATTGATGTAAGATTGTGATGGCATGCGAATGAAATCCCAACGTTTTCAGAGCTCAACATGCTCGTGCATGTCATGTTGGTGTGTTTCGGCGCTTGGCTCTCAAGTGGTGGTTTTCTTTGCGATTTTTTCACCAAATTTAGGCTGTACCTCATTCTTTCCACATAAATGCAGAAATGACCAATTCATTTTTTATATTAATGTCTCACTTGTGTTTTTTTATATCGCTGATCAGGTAAATATGTTAGGGAGAGGGCTATCTAAGTTGTAAAAAATTGTGCCTGATCCAATTCCTTGTGAATGAAATATGCTTTAAACAAGTTGTTTATTCCAGCATGGATTTAATTCACAACGGCGTGAAGTACCGACCCAACAACACCGACCCTCTGACCGTGGAGCCTGGCGAGAAGCTGTCAATCAAACTGTCTCTCCATAGCAACGACTCGCACCTTCAGGTGTTCGCAAGGAACTGCAAGGCCACGCCCACTGATACAACACACACTACAGAACAGTACCTTGTGGTAGACAATGGGTAGGTGAATACTCCTTCTGTAGACTGTGTTAGACAATGGGTAGGTGAATACTCCTTCCGTAGACTGTGTTAGACAATGGTTAGGTGAATACTCCTTCCGTAGACAGTGGTAGAAAATGGGTAGGTGAATACTCCTTCCGTAGACAGTGGTAGACAATGGGTAGGTGAATACTCCTTCCGTTAACTGTGGTAGACAATGGGTAGGTGAATACTCCTTCCGTTAACCGTGGTAGACAATGGGTAGGTGAATACTCCTTCTGTAGACTGTGTTAGACAATAGGTGGGTGAATACTCCTTCTGTAGACTGTGGTAGACAATGGGTAGGTGAATACTCCTTCCGCAGACAGTGGTAGACAATGGGTAGGTGAATACTCCTTCTGTAGACTGTGTTAGACAATGGGTTGGTGAATACTCCTTCTGTAGACTGTGGTAGACAATGGGTAGGTGAATACTCCTTCCGTAGACAGTGGTAGAAAATGGGTAGGTGAATACTCCTTCTGTAGACTGTGTTAGACAATGGGTAGGTGAATACTCCTTCTGTAGACTGTGTTAGACAATGGGTAGGTGAATACTCCTTCTGTAGACTGTGGTAGACAATGGGTAGGTGAATACTCCTTCCGTAGACTGTGGTAGACAATGGGTAGGTGAATACTCCTTCCGTAGACAGTGGTAGAAAATGGGTAGGTGAATACTCCTTCTGTAGACTGTGTTAGACAATGGGTAGGTGAATACTCCTTCTGTAGACTGTGGTAGACAATGGGTAGGTGAATACTCCTTCCGTAGACAGTGGTAGAAAATGGGTAGGTGAATACTCCTTCTGTAGACTGTGTTAGACAATGGGTAGGTGAATACTCCTTCTGTAGACTGTGTTAGACAATGGGTAGGTGAATACTCCTTCTGTAGACTGTGTTAGACAATGGGTAGGTGAATACTCCTTCTGTAGACTGTGTTAGACAATAGTTAGGTGAATACGTCTCCTATAGACTGTGGTAGACAATGGATAGGTGAATACTCCTTCTGTAGACTGTGTTAGACAATGGGTAGGTGAATACTCCTTCCGTAGACAGTCGTAGACAATGGGTAGGGGAATATTCCTTCCGTTGACTGTGTTAGACAATGGGTAGGTGAATACTCCTTCCGCAGACAGTGGTAGACCATGGGTAGGTGAATACTCCTTCCGTTAACTGTGGTAGACAATGGGTAGGTGAATACTCCTTCCGTTAACTGTGGTAGACAATGGGTAGGTGAATACTCCTTCCGTTTACTGTGGTAGACAATGGATAGGTGAATACTCCTTCCGTTTACTGTGGTAGACAATGGGTAGGTGAATACTCCTTCCGTAGACAGTGGTAGACAATGGGTAGGTGAATACGTCTCCTGTAGACAGTGATAGACAATAGGTAGGTGAATACGTCTCCTGTAGACTGTGGTAGACAATGGATAGGTGAATACTCCTTCCGTAGACTGTGGTAGACAATGGGTAGGTAAATACTCCTTCCGTTGACTGTGTTAGACAATGGGTAGGTGAATACTCCTTCCGTAGACAGTGGTAGACAATGGGTAGGTGAATACTCCTTCCGTAGACAGTGGTAGACAATGGGTAGGTGAATACGTCTCCTATAGACAGTGGTAGACAATAGTTAGGTGATTACGTCTCCTGTAGAATGTGGTAGACAATGGATAGGTGAATACGTTTTCTGTAGACTGTCGTAAATAATGGGTAGGTACAATATACAGTTTTACCTACAAATTTCACTGACCCTTATGGGAAATATGAGGGTCCTGTAAAGTAATGAAATGGTGTCGTAAGATTTAATGATTACTTCAATTACAGAATCTGGATATTTCTTGTAAAGAATTTGGTATTATGATTATTATTCTTGTTGTGCGTCCCGTAAATGGTACTGAAGCGGGAGTCTGGCGTGTTTAACAGTTGTCTGATGCGCTCGTAAAATATATCAAGTCCCTGTAGTTTTCAAGTCACGTAGCCAACTTTTTCTATCTTCTTCTTGATAAGAATAAATACGCGGATACTTCCCAGATCGGTACTCGGTACATGTTAAACTTCATGTTTAACAAAATAGCAATAATTAACACGAATGAGGGCGTTGCGTAACTGCTGGCATTACAAGTAAACGAACCCTGTTAAGATCCGGGGTAGTACAGGTGTTCACCAACCCAAGAATGTCGTAAAGGGCGACTCTGCTTGTCGTTAGAGGCGACTAACGGGATCGGATGCACGTGGTCACGCTTGGTTGATGCATGTCATCGTATACCAATTGCGTAGATCTATGCTAACGATGCCTTTCACTTGATTGTCTGGTCCAGATTCGGGTATTTACAGACCGATGTCAATTTAGGTGGAAGGTGAAATATTGCTGAGTGCGGCGATAAACTCAAAAACTAAAACCCACAAAATACATTTAGATGTCACGTGTCCTGACTAACACACCGGTGTGGTGTGTGTCCCAGCTAAGTTGTAAAGACGGTAACTGTGCCTGTCTACCTAAACGAGTAGACAGGCGGTGGTCGATGTCTCCTAGACTGCGATTGGGTGACAGTAAATATAGAATTCATTTGTCTTCGGTATCGAATGAAAACCAACGTAGGACTACGTGATGTTTTGCAAATATTATATCTGGGATCACACTTTCTCGGTAAAGTACAAATTCTAGTACTTTTGGGGTTGAGTCCCATCCGGGATTCGAACTCACACTCTCAGATTCTGAAATCTAAACTCCAGCACACAAAGTCAGCGATTTAACCCACTCAGCTACCAAGGCTTCAACAAAATAAAAGTCAACAACTGGTAGTCTAGATCACGTACTTTGTGTACTAGATTTTTTAATTTACCAAAAGAGTGTTGTCCCAAATATAATATTTCTTACATTTGACCACTTTCTAAAAGGCGCTGTGTCTTTATAGCTGTCGGCCGTGGGAGCCGTGCCCAGATGGGGCTCAACCCCCAAAAGTTCTAAAATTTGTACTTTACCATGAAAATGTAATTCCCAATATAAGATTTGTTACATTTGACCGCTTTCTAAATGACATTGTGTTTTCATACGTGATGTAAAAGCCAAAAATAAACATCACCAGAACAGCTGGTCATAAAATATTGTTGTGTCGCAACCAATTTTCCAGGTGTAGACATGTCCCCGTGTTTGGTTTTAATTCGTATTTAAGGAGGCTACGCATGGCGTGGACTTGTACCACGTGTTTGGTCTTTGACTTGAAGCGCTGAGCTTGCTGTACAAAGTGAAAGTGGAACAATCTTAACAAAACGCGGTCTGTACATTGTCGTGTCTGGAACAGTGTACGGTGGCCCATAAGGGACATGGAGTCTATTTTTCAATATTTTGATATTTCACTTACTTTTATCGTAACCTTTTGCAAATTAACACGATTTGTCTTACAAATATGTGATAAATCATGTATAAAGAAGATACTGAATCGCTGAAAAGTGAAGCGAAAATGTCACAAACTAAAATGAAAATACAGAAAAATATTTCCACCACGGTGATAATACTCAAATATAGTTTTCTGTATTTTCATATTAGTTTTTGACATTTTCGCTTTTGTTTTTGACATTTTCGTTTTTGTTTTTGACATTTTCATTTTAGTTTTTGACTTTTTCTTTTTTGTTTTTGACATTTCCATTTTAGTTTTTGACATTTTCGCTTCACAGTTCAGCGATTCAATAGCTGCTTGAAAGTACATTTTCCATGTTTTCGGTTGCTTTTATAATGATTTATCACATATTTGTATGACAAATTGTGTTAATTTGCAAAAGGTTATGATAAAAGTAAGTGAAAAATCAAAATATTGAAAAACAGACTCCATGTCCCTTATGGGCCACCGTACCAGTGATTGACTTGAACATCGATATAAGGAACGGGAAATATGACCTTTTTAACATCACAGTGCCCATAACAATAAAAAAAATGGCTTTCACCAGGAACAATGAGTGAGTATACGTTTACCCCGCTTTTACGGCGGGGACACCAGAACTGGGCATCACACATTGTACCCATGTAGGAAATCAAACCCGAGTCTTTGGCTTACAGAGCGAACGCTTCAACCGCCAGGCTATCTCACCGTCCCTCCACCAGGAAATATCATGTGATTAACGCTATCGCGGGAACATGTCACGATACTTAATACTTGTATGACTCTAAGATGACCATTGCGATAATGGTGATAAGGTTATGCCAACTGAGATTATTATCAGATCCTGTTTAATAGTTAGGTAACTTATGATGATTCTTATTTGAAACTTTATTTAAATATTATGCGCACAGATGTTCTACTGATTCCACGTTGACCTTCAAGAACGTCAGTGACGTCACACAAGAGACCTTGACCCTGGAAACGTTCAAGTTCGACAACTCAAGCTCGATGTATTTCCACTGCGAGGTTCTGGTTTGCAATGTCACGGATCCAGACTCCAGGTGCCACCACGGTTGTCTCACCCCCGGTAGGGGGAGGAGGGATGTGGGGAGGGGGGAGGACGGCCAAGATGTGTACCTGGCGTCGCATGAGCTGGCGGTGGGGCCGGTGGAGCTGCAGAGTGGAGCTGGCAGCTCAGTGCGCATGAAGAAATCGGGTATGTCAGCGAAATGACGGGTGACGAGTTCAAATTCATTTTTAAAAGCAGCGTTGATATCGCTCCACCAAGGTCACCCAAGTTGGTACTGTGTTATCCTTTAAATCTGAATAGGTAATTAAGGTTTTATGTCGCATTAAGCGATATTCTAACAATAATACAGCGTGGGGAATCAAAAATGGTTTCGCGAACATTTGGTGTCATCACTGATTTCCAGTGATCTATTCATAGAATTTTCACCCATTTTGCCCGCAAAAATAGAATCCACGTAAAATCGAGGCTGGTTAATCTCAGGCAATGACGTTTCCGAGCACTGTAACTATATACACCTAACCCGTCTTCCTCGTCGTGACGTGGTTCCAACCATAAGGCAACTCTATGTTTGTCGTAAGATGACGGAATCGGGTGGTCAGGCTCGCTGATTTGGTTAATATGAGTCATCGTATCCAAATTGTGTGGATCGATGTTCATGATATCAATCACTGGATTGTCAGGTCCAGACTCGATTATCTACAAAGCGCCGTCATATAGCTGATATATTGCTGAGTGCGGCGTTAAAACAACAAATAAACAAACAGACAATAATAATCGATCAACGTGGAGGTATGTGAAGGAATGTTCTCAACAAGGTCTCGTTACCACTAAACAAAAGAGTTATGTACCAACTGAATTTTTCACATTACTTTAGTTAATATGACATGCCAGATTAACTCTTTCCTATGGCAAAGAGCCAGTCTTTGACCTTTTTGGGGTAGTGTACAGTGTCAGCTGGCACCTTTTCAAACGAGGTGTTTGTTTCAGACCTACCAGCAAACACCCCCTCAGACCCCGAGACGGGGAGGGCGGCGCTGACGGCAGGGCTAGCTCTCCTGGGCGTGGCACTCATCATGATCACGGTCGCTCTCTCCATCATCTTCAAGAATGACGAGGAAGGCGATGTGAAGGTCAAGGACGACGCAGAGGAAAGACTAATCAACGGAGATAAATGAAATAAAATCTTCTCTTTTTTAAAATGTTTGCAATTTCTTCCTTCTCATGTAACGGTTAAGAGCAATAATGTCAAGCTACCCTTATGAGACAGTTGAATCATGGCCCTAGTCTAGACGGTCATCCCACTCATGTGCCAAAATGCAACGGACTATGAAAATAAACAAGCAAACATACCACACAGTAGGCACGTGTCATTGTTTTAATGTTGAACTTTAGTTGATCCAGGTTGCTACGTTGAAAAACATTGTATCCCCACAGTTTCAACATGGACATTTCAATATTTGAAAATATGTTGAAATCTGAAAAGAAATCTAAAATTCAACATCTCCTAAAAACAAATTCAGGAATTCTTTAATGAAAATAAAATATATGTCATTTGAAGCAATATATTTATAGACTCTAGATTCTTTTATACCAAAAGATAATGATTTAAAGATTTAAATCCTTTTCTGAGCTACGGGAACTAATATTGACAGAAAAAATATTTTATCGAAATTGCAAGGGGACCGCGCATTTTACCTGAACATTCCAAGTGCGTATTTGGCCATTATGACCTCGGATAACGGCCGAGTGATGACGAATAAACAGACATGCGCATTGTGTGAGCGCGCTATTCTCACGCGACATGCGTGACAGGCCAATAGTGACACTGGACTCCCACGTGTGGAACGGTTCTCCAGTGTGAAGAAATGGACCTCAGTCAGCGCCCTCTAGTATCCAGCATGGTGCACCTCTGACTAGAGTTTGACCTGATTATATAGTGCTATAGAACTGTATTAATTTTGTGGGGTCTTTTGTGTGTTTGCTGATTAACGCCTCATTCAGCAATATTCAAGCTATATGACAGCGGTCTGTAAATAATCGAGTCTGGACCAGACAATCCAGTGATTGACATCATGAGCATCGATCCCCGCAATTTGGATACAATGACATGTATCAACCAAGTCAGCGAGCCTGACCACCCGACTCCGTTAGTCGCCTCTTACGACAAGCATAGTCGCCTTTTACGGCGTGTATTAATGCAATCAATATGTAACCAATATCCAACCAACAACCATCCACAATTCAACATTGTTTCAACATTGATATCTGGTGTTTATTCAACATCATTTCAACCTTGAAATCCAAACACAAATCAATGTCATTTCAACGTTTAAGCACGCCTCATTCAACGATATTCCAGCTATATGACAGCGGTCTGTAAATAATTGAGTCTGGACCAGACAATGCAGTGATTGACATCATGAGCATCGATCCACGCAATTTGGATACAATGACATGAACCAACACGTGCCTGACCACCCGATCCCGTTTAGTCGCCTCTTACGACAAGCATAGTCGCCTTTTCCGGCGTGTATTAATGCAACCAATATTCAACCAATATCCAACGAACACCTATCCACAATTCAACATTGTTTCAACATTGATATCTGGTGTTTATTCAACATCGACATTTCAACATCATTTCAACCTTGAAATCCAAACAAAAATCAATGTCATTTCAAAGTCTAAGCACGATTCAACATTGATTTAACATTAATTCAACATTGTTATGCCCGCTTGGTAAAGTCTGGAACTATAACTATAACTTATGGAACACTTAGAACAGTGTGTTCAGAAAATTATCAGACAGGTTTCATGACTGACTACAAGCCTCTCTCTGTCCGATGCAAAGCTGGACTGCTATGATGCTGTTATGCCTAATTTGAGTAACAAAAGAACTATAGACCCTCCTTACTGCGTGGGAAGGAACACGCATTTACTGCACATCTAAATACAAGATGACTGGTGGCAGTACACACGGGAACACAGCGAACACGTAACAATATGAAGACCCGGGATATTAACGGTAAAGACAAAGATCAGGGTCATGATAACTCAAGATGTTGTGTGTCCACCATTAGCTGCACCCGCTGCCTGACACTTCCTGCACATGAGGGGTGGAGAAATAGGGTATAAATGTCGCTTCCAAGATTATTGTATTTATATAGCGATGTACATGTACACGTATGTGTGTGTGGCCGCTTGTACTAGTCGATTTATAGTGCTAGCCCACTGCGATACCATGCCGCAGTTTAACATGAATATCCTACTGAATATGAATATACTGAGCCGACAAGTCCTTGTGTTAGCCCCTTTATGACGAGCGCCAGACAGGGTAACAACAAGTGCCATCTTTTAACGTCTTTTGGTATGACGCGACCGGGGATCGAACCCCGGGCCCGTCCCTTTCGCTCTCCGGGCGGATGCTGTACCACTAGACCACGGAGGCGGTCTCCTGCCCATGAAAGTACAGATCCCTCATTGTACAAAGTTCGCACACTCGACTGTGATTCAGGACGGAGCTGTTATACTCGGTGATCCAACTCCTCTAATCGGTTTCATTCTGACGATTTAGAGGCCTGCGGAAAACCTGCGACAAAAGCATTATCGCGTTGAGAGACAGCTACAGCTGCTCAGAAACCCATGTGGCGTTGCTACCCGTGAAGATCTGGGGTAGAATAGGTCTTCAGCAACCCATGTTTGCCGTAAATCTATGCTGAGTCAAGAAATATTTGAACCGTGACATTAAAACTGCCCCTACTGAGCTGCAAAACGAATATATTTCTTAAACTTTTTTTTACTGATAAACAGCAGAATCTCTGCACTTGTACACAGCTGACGTAAATCCAAATTAACATATAGTTTCAACAGAAATCAGTAAAAGCATTATCGTGTCACTGGATTGTCTGGTTCATCGATCACTTGATTGTCTGGTTTGTTTACAGGCTACCGTCGTATGACAGGAGTACTGCTCTGCAGAGTCAGGCAATAAATACTTACCTTTAGATACAAATTGTGTGAACAGCGGTGCCACCGGTAGGCCAGGACATGTTTACCCATCTTACGAATTCCTGGTGTCATCACTGATATTCAGTGGTCCATTCATATGATTTTCAAAGCTTTTTTTTGCCATTTTCGCCAAATGGAATCAGTTTCGGCGGATAATCTAGACTGGTTATTCTCTGGCATTGACAATTTATATTATATAAGAACCACTTTGACATTCTCTTCATTTATTGTCAGAACGACCTCCAACCTCTCTTTATCTAAGATCAGAAACACCTCTTCCAACTCTTTATTGATTAGAAGAACCACTTCCGCCCATTCTTTATCTAATATCAGAACTGTCTCCACCCTCACTTTATCTAATATCAGAACGACCTACACCCTCTCTTTATCTAAGGTCAGAAACACCTCTTCCAACTCTTTATTTAAAAGTAGAAACACTATCGCCAACTCTTTATCTAATATCAGAACTATCTCCACTCTCTCAAAAGAAAGGGTACAACTTCTTCCAGAATTTCCTGAAGTTTAACATATGGTTTAAACAATATATATTTTCGAAAGAAATTGGTGAACAGGCATATACCGGCCTATATAAGGACCTCTTCCCCGCACAATCAAAGACAGACAAGACAAGACAGAACAGCAATCCTAGAGATAGGGGAAATTTACATAAATAGAAATTTGTAACAACATGTTACTAACATTTATTACAATGTATTAAATTAGCCTATGAAAATCTGTTTGTGAGGGTCATAGTTATGTACAGATTAAATAATGTTTGATATTAATATCATCTTTGAGATTAATATTTCCAAAAACAACACGGTCTTGATATTAAATCCCTTGACATAAAAATAACATGTTGATCTAATAGCACAACGATTTAAACATTGGAATAAATACTAAAGACTGTCTCCGTTACGATGACCACATCTGCAAGTAGGATGCATACATCTGTAAAACCCGTGTTCGTTTAAATGGCTACAGTCCAATGTTAATATACAGTGAATAATTGGACTCAATCTATTACCAAATGATTTAAAAATGTGTGCACATTACATTCAGCAAACGTTCGTGATTTTCTAAATTTAATGAAAAATTCTGTACAAAGATATTGATGATCCAACCTATTCCAGTCAAAAAAAACAGAAGGCAAAACTGCTTTTTGGGGGATAAACATAAGGTAAAGAGGGTTCTGGAGTATGTTGGATGATCTAGTTTCATATGTGGAAGTGGTAGATAGATTCGGGGAACTAGATCTCATAGACATGATGGCGTTTACTTAACATTTTGTCCAAAAGACACATTTTGTATCTAAATTAATATTACCTGGTTTTCTGTGTGTATTAACTTACATTTTCGCGTTCCTGCTGTTACTAATATTGGAATTATAAACATATATGTATCTTACATGAGTTCAGCACATGAAAATAATAAGACTAAATATACGTCCTACCTTTATATACCGTGTCTTATCAGTCACGTGATTGTCTCTGCGAATTACACCAGAAGAAAAGAAACCAACGTTAGATAAAATTCTATCTCGTCAATATAAAGGCTGCACTGGATCAGTCCTGATAGTCACTCCTGCAGAATGAAGTCCCTTCTCCTCATCTTAGTGGCGGCCACGGTGCTCGGGGTGGTGATGTCTCTTCCCTTCCGGCGAGAAAAACTGGAGCAACTCATCCCTCTTGCCCGCAATCTGGGGGCGACGAAGTTCGCCCACTTCGTCCATGAAGCCAACCTGATAGCGAACTTCACAAGGAAGGGTACGTCAATGCATGTTTGTGAGCAGGTTATTACTACCTGACAGCTAACTTCACAAGGAAGGGTACGTCAATGCATGGTTGTGGGCAGGTTATTACAGAGTGGTTCAGTTGGGATGACCTCTCCATTCTTGCAGCTGACCATTGTAGTTACTTTTGTCAACGCGACGTAGACGATAAAATACTGACAACCATACGGTCTGAATTAGATGTAGGGGATAGGACACTGAGGCAAGAATTAGGAATCCCCATGGACACTAATTGTTAGGATGCCAACCCTCTCCCGAACATCATCTAATGTTTTACTCTGATTCTCATTGCTCACGTCGAATCCCGAATACTGCTTAACACAAATCCTTTTAGCACTTTATATGCTTTAGCAAAGTGCATGCGTCGAGATCTAACGACAAATACAACATACTTCACTTCCTAAGGCACTAACTTTCAAATACGAGTATTTTTACCTATCCAGTTGGAAACCGGACCGGAACAGACTTCTTATCCGTCATTACGCTAGGCGATGACGGCTAAAGAAATTCGTACCCTCTCGATGACTAGAATCCGATAAGTACACTGAATGTTGCATGATCGAAAATCATCTCAATGTAGCTAAAAGTTGATATCAAAGTCGTCAAAAGGGAGCAACACAGAGATGTACAGAAGCCCAATGGTGCCACTTTGGCAGGAAGATAATATTTGTTTTTTAAATCGATTTTTTTAATGAATTATTTATATACTTTGCTATTTATGTATTTCCATTATATTTTCGTTATTGAGGTTCTTTCTCGTTATCTAGATTATTCTTCCGTAATTTTCGATTATTTTCTCGTTTTATCAAGTATATTTAAAAAACTCGAAATTTTGTATTATTTACTTGCTTTTTCAATTATTAAATATTTTGCAAATATCGAGAAAAATACGAAATTTCGACTTTTTGAAATAACGAGAAAATAATCTAAATTACGAGAGAATAATTGGAGTACCCCCAACATTTCATAAGTTTGGCTTAGTTCTGAAAATAAAGTTCTAAAACTGGGCCGAATTTTTAAATAAATAGCTAAGCTTCATTCGATTGACTCAGTGGGCCCACATTTGTAATTAGTTTGCAGGAATATATTGTCATATTGATGGGAAACGTATTTATGTACTATTTAGTTTGACAGTACCTCCGCGATAGGTATACACATTCTATGAAGCTGACGTCACTAGCTGATCACTCTTAGTTTTGCAAAAATAGTTTCAAAGCAAGAAACTTACTTCAAATTATATGTCGAGATGTTTTTGCACCTCACACGTTTCCATATTATTAATATGACTATTAATGAGCCCACAATCTAGTTATGCGAGTTCTGCTGTAGTTTCTTCTGTCAATATACATATAGCCTGATTATAGGCATTGACCGTAACACATAGATTCAGAGTGATAAAAAACCTCCCACAAGACTGTAGGACGAGAGCGATGACTTCAACTACATTTCGCAACTTTAGAGGTACAATGCTCTTTCTCCTTAGATTTTAAAGAGGGTCACACAAATCTTGCTCAAAAGTTGTTTGATCATGGTCTCAGTTACTCTCTCAAAACGATTTATGCATGTGGATAACATCTGTAAGAAAATGTCTGATGCAATTCCCTATTTAGGTCATATGTTACCTGCTGTTGTAAGGTGAACAATTGACTTGTGTTTGCACGTATTTGGGACGGATGCACCGGTGGGGCAGGATTCGCTCACCTTTCTCAAACACCTGGTATCATTTTTATTTGATAGTGATTCGTAACAAATGCGTATGACATAAAGAGAATCGGACACGGGCGATTTCTGTGATTACGGAAAGCTGTATGGATGTTTATTTTCTTGGAGAACAAAAGCCAGTTTATATGGGAACCTTGGACAAGATACTCTAAGCAGTTACGTCTTGTTTCAGCCGGGAACTTCACCCTGTTCGTGCCGGACAACGCGGCCTTCGAGGGTCTGCCTGAAAACATCGCACGCAACAAGACTCTGCTGGCACAGCTCGTCCTCTTCCACTCAGTCAGCGGAACCTACAACAGATCCGAGTTGATCCGGAACAAGAACCTAACGACGCTGTCGGGGGGATTCCTCTACTTTAACGAGACTAAGAAAAAGGTAGGCATGAACTGTACTTATACCACACTAAGACCGAGGTAAACAAGAACGACAGACGCTGTCGTGTAAATGACTGTACTTTAACCACACCAAGGCCGAGGGAGACAAGAACGACAGACGCTGTCGTGTAGATTTGCTTTACTTAAACTTAGGGCAGGATAGCATCAGCCCACCACTGAGTGGACTGTTTCTTGACTGACTGCTTTTTAAGACACATGCCCATCTCGACACTTTGACCTCACTTCGGAGGTGTTGAGTTTCTGCGACCCGTTCTGGGCTCGGCTCCGGATTCTTGGGCTCAAAACGGTCGTAGGGGTCCAAGCCAATGTCTGTCCCTCTGAAGCCTTTTGACAGTTTGTCTGCAATTTACATTAGAAACACTTGCACAGAGCCCCTGATCGAGCATATATATGTGCATCCAACATATTCCTGACAGGACAGGGTGCAGGGGAAGGTATATGCTCGATAGTACATACACCTGACAGGACAGGGTGCAGGGGAAGGTATATGCTAGATAGCACATACACCTGACAAGACAGGGTGCAGGGGAAGGTATATGCTAGATAGGACATACACCTGACAGGACAGGGTGCAGGGGAAGGTATATGCTAGAAAGTACATACAACTGACAGGACAGGGTGCAGGGGAAGGTATATGCTAGATAGCACATACACCTGACAGGACAGGGTGCAGGGGAAGGTATATGCTAGATAGCACATACACCTGACAGGACAGGGTGCAGGGGAAGGTATATGCTAGATAGCACATACACCTGACAGGACAGGGTGCAGGGGAAGGTATATGCTAGATAGTACATACACCTGACAGGACAGGGTGCAGGGGAAGGTATATGCTAGATAGTAAATACAACTGACAGGACAGGGTGCAGGGGAAGGTATATGCTAGATAGGACATACACCTGACAGGACAGGGTGCAGGGGAAGGTATATGCTAGATAGGACATACACCTGACAAGACAGGGTGCAGGGGAAGGTATATGCTAGATAGTACATACACCTGACAGGACAGGGTGCAGGGGAAGGTATATGCTAGATAGTACATACACCTGACAGGACAGGGTGCAGGGGAAGGTATATGCTAGATAGTACATACACCTGACAGGACAGGGGGCAGGGGAAGGAATATGCTAGATAGTACATACACCTGACAGGACAGGGTGCAGGGGAAGGTATATGCTAGATAGAAGATACACCTGACAGGACAGGGTGCAGGGGAAGGTCAATGCTAGATAGAAGATACACCTGACAGGACAGGGTGCAGGGGAAGGTATATGCTAGATAGAAGATACACCTGACAGGACAGGGTACAGGGGAAGGTATATGCTAGATAGTACATACACCTGACAGGACAGAGTGCAGGGGGAGGTATATGCTAGATAGTACATACACCTGACAGGACAGGGTGTATACCGCCTAGCATGTATGTCCTTTTTATCTTCATGCAGGTAGTGCTTGTAAACAACGTCACTATCACTGGATTCAACAAGCGAGCCTCGAACGGGTTCATCTTCTTTGTAAGCAAGGTCATACTGGAGGGATCAGGACTGGTGAACAAAACTAACAACAAGAAGTCTGGACAAGTCCGCCGTCAAGCATATGTCTTGTGTCGTAATGGCACATGGGGTGTCAACTGTACTCTCCATGGCAACGGTACACATGGAAACGACACACATGGAAACGGCACATTATGCGACAACGGGTTCTGGGGTGTCAACTGTACTCTCCATGGTAACGGTACCCACGGCAATGGTACCCAAGGCAACGGCACATTATGCGGCAAAGGGTTCTGGGGTGTCAACTGTACTCTCCATGTAAATGGTACGAATGGCAACAGTACCCATGGAAACGGCACATTATGCGGCAACGGGTTCTGGGGTATCAACTGTACTCTCCATGGCAACGGTACCCACGGCAATGGTACCAATGGCAACGGCACATTATGCGGCAACGGGTTCTGGGGTGTCAACTGTGCCCTCCATGTAAACGGTACCCAAGGCAACGGCACATTATGCGGCAAAGGGTTCTGGGGTGTCAACTGTACTCTCCATGTAAACGGTACCAATGGCAACAGTACCAATGGAAACGGCACATTCTGCGGCAAAGGGTTCTGGGGTGTCAACTGTACTCTCCATGTAAATGGTACCAATGGCAACAGTACCAATGGAAACGGCACATTATGCGGCAACGGGTTCTCGGGTAACAACTGTACTCTCCATGGCAACGGTACCCACGGCAATGGTACCCAAGGCAACGGCACATTATGCGGCAACGGGTTCTGGGGTGTCAACTGTACTCTCCATGTAAACGGTACGCATGGTAATGGCACACATGGAAACGGCACATTATGCGGCAACGGGTTCTTTGGTGTCAACTGTACTCTCCATGTAAACGGTACGCATGGCAATGGTACCCATGGAAACGGCACATTATGCGGCAAAGGGTTCTGGGGTGTCAACTGTACTCTCAATGTAAACGGTACGCATGGCAATGGCACACATGGAAACGGCACATTATGCGGCAACGGGTTCTTGGGTATCAACTGTACTCTCCATGGCAACAGTACCCATGGCAATCGTACACAAGGCAACGGCACATTATGCGGAAACGGGTTCTGGGGTGTCAACTGTAGTCTCCACGGCAACGGTACCCATGGCAATGGTACCCAAGGCAACGGCACATTATGCGGAAACGGGTTCTTGGGTATCAACTGTACTCTCCATGGCAACGGTACCCATGGCAATCGTACACAAGGCAACGGCACATTATGCGGCAACGGGTTCTGGGGTGTCAACTGTAGTCTCCACGGCAACGGTACCCATGGCAATCGTACCCAAGGCAACGGCACATTATGCGGAAACGGGTTCTGGGGTGTCAACTGTACTTTCCATGGCAACGGTACCTATGGCTATGGTACCCATGGCAATGATACCCAAGGCAATGGCACATTATGCGGCAAAGGGTTCCGGGGTGTCAACTGTACTCTCCATGTAAACAGTACGCATGGCAATGGTACCAATGGCAACGGCACATTATGCGGCAACGGGTTCTGGGGTGTCAACTGTAGTCTCCACGGCAACGGTACACATGGCAATGATACCCAAGGCAACGGCACATTATGCGGCAACGGGTTCTGGGGTGTCAACTGTACTCTCCATGTAAACGGTACGCATGGCAATGGTACCCATGGAAACGGCACCTTATGCGGCAAATGGTTCTGGGGTGTCAACTGTAGTCTCCACGGCAACGGTACACATGGCAATGGTACCCAAGGCAACGGCACATTATGCGGCAACGGGTTCTGGGGTGTCAACTGTACTCTCAATGTAAACGGTACGCATGGCAATGGTACCCATGGAAACGGCACATTTTGCGGCAACGGGTTCTTGGGTATCAACTGTACTCTCCATGGCAACGGTACCCATGGCAATCGTACACAAGGCAACGGCACATTATGCGGCAACGGGTTCTGGGGTGTCAACTGTACTCTCCATGGCAACGGTACCCACGGCAATGGTACCCAAGGCAACGGTACATTATGCGGCAAAGGGTTCTGGGGTGTCAACTGTACTCTCCATGTAAACGGTACGCATGGCAATGGTACCCATGGAAACGGCACATTATGCGACAAAGGGTTCTGGGGTATCAACTGTACTCTCCATGTAAACGGTACCCATGGCAATGGTAAATACGGCAACGGCACATTATGTGGCAAAGGGTTCTGGGGTGTCAACTGTACCCTCCATGTAAACGGTACCCATGGCAACGGCACATTATGTGGCAAAGGGTTCTGGGGTGTCAACTGTTCTCTCCATGTAAACGGTACCCATGGCAACGGCACATTATGTGGCAAAGGGTTCTGGGGTGTCAACTGTTCTCTCCATGTAAACGGTACCCATGGCAATGGTACCAATGGCAACGGCACATTATGCGACAACGGGTTCTGGGGTGTCAATTGTACTCAACATGGAAACGGTACCCATGGCAACGGTACCCATCCGAACGGCATATTGTGCCCAAACGGGACCTTGGGTATCAACTGCAATCGCCTTGGAAACGGTACCCATGGCAACGGTACCCATGGCAACATGACGCATGGCAGCATCACTCATATTCTAAGCAAGGGCTATGATCAGTACAGTACCTTGATTGCTGACTTGATGAAATCTGGTGTCTGGAGCGAGCTCGAGAGTAAGTAACACAATTACTTCTTTCAGACATTGTGTCACTGTCTTGAATGGCTTTCTCATCAACATGTACTATAAACCTTGAGTTTTCTCCAGTCCTTGATCCTAGTGAATGAATATGTAATCATTGGCATAAGCCACGTTAATATAACACATTGTTTTTATTGATGAAACTAAAATATTAACTTGACGAAGAAGAGGTTTGTCACACAACCCTTATCCTTGTGTGGAGATGCGGCCATGTTTAGATACAGTGATGAAACACGTATTCCTGACCTTGTCTCTTCCTGTAGGGCCTCAAGTGACCCTCCTCGCGCCAACCAATGCAGCGTTCAGCAAGCTCCCGACAGCCTACAGAAACAACCTGGACAATGACGCCAAATTCCTGGAGAGTACGGGCACCTTTTTATTTGGCATTGCACATCATCCACGCATGACTTAATAATAACTGGATGTTTCTTGCAATGATATTTACCTCCAGCAAAGGTCCAGCTGTATTGAAAGACCAATGACAATATCGTACACAGTGGTGATGTGTGCAACGTTTGGTATTTTTAGGTACCATGATGTACCACGTCCTGGACGGAATCCACGCCCCCGCCTCTCTGCACCAGAACGACATGCTCACCTCCCTAGAGGGACATCGTATCCACGTCTCCATGCAGAACGGTGAGACTCATATCATGGTAGACACAGGACTGTATACATGGTAGTCACAAGGACTGTACATGTCGAAGAAACAAGTCAGTAGACATAGAAGCCACAATCAGTACACATAGAAGCCACAAGCCAGTACACATAGAAGCCACAAGTCATTAGACATAGAAGCCACAAGTCAGTACACATAGAAGCCACAAGCCAGTACACATTGAAGCCACAAGTCAGTAGACATAGAAGCCACAAGTCAGTAGACATAGAAGCCACAAGCCAGTACACATAGAAGCCACAAGTCAGTAGACATAGAAGCCACAAACCAGTACACATAGAAGCCACAAGTCAGTACACATAGAAGCCACAAGCCAGTACACATTGAAGCCACAAGTCAGTAGACATAGAAGCCACAAGCCAGTACACATAGAAGCCACAAGTCAGTAGACATAGAAGCCACAAGTCAGTACACATAGAAACCACAAGTCAGTACACATAGAAGCCACAAGCCAGTACACATTGAAGACACAAGCCAGTATGACTGCACACTTACTATGACTTACTAAACAAACTTATACCTGTCTCTTCCTGACGCTCCAACCGTTATGATTTGCTATTGTACAGACTAGAAAATCATTCCGTTGTGAATACATTGCAGGTTACGTTCAGCAGTTCAACCAGGCCAGCATCATGAACGAGATTCACGCCACCAACGGCATCATCTACGTCCTGGACGTCGTCCTTCACTTGCCAAGCAACCCTATTGTGTGATGGAGATGTAGAGGTACCCCTGTACACGTGATGCAATACTACTTGATGTAGAATATTGCAATAAAATGTTACTGCATCGGCTGTATGCTTTCTCCTTTAACTTATTACACATGCCGCAACACTTATTGTTTAACACAAACCCCGACACTAAATGTCTGCCACTTCAAATTTTTACACGTCACAACGCTACATGTCTGCTATTTCAAATTATTACACCTGCCACAACGCAACATGTGTGCTACTTCAAATTATTTCACGCCACAACGCTACATGTGTGCTACTTCAAATTATTTCACGCCACAGCGCTACATGTCTGCTACTTCAAAATATTACACCTGCCACAACGCTACATGTGTGCTACTTCAAATTATTTCACGCCACAACGCTACATGTGTGCTACTTCAAATTATTTCACGCCACAGCGCTACATGTCTGCTACTTCAAATTATTACACCTGCCACAACGCTACATGTGTGCTGCTTCAAATTATTACACGTCACAGCGCTACATGTCTGCTACTTCAAATTATTACACCTGCCACAACGCTACATGTCTGCTACTTCAAATTATTTCACGCCACAACGCTACATGTGTGCTACTTCAAATTATTTCACGCCACAGCGCTACATGTCTGCTACTTCAAATTATTACACCTGCCACAACGCTACATGTGTGCTGCTTCAAATTATTACACGTCACAGCGCTACATGTCTGCTACTTCAAATTATTACACCTGCCACAACGCTACATGTCTGCTACTTCAAATTATTTCACGCCACAACGCTACATGTATGCTACTTCAAATTATTACACGTCACAACGCTACATGTCTGCTACTTCAAATTATTACACATCACAACGCTACATGTCTGCTACTTCAAATTATTACACATCACAACGCTAGATCTGCTACTTCAAATTATTACACATGCCACAACGCTACATGTCTGCCACTTCAAATTATTACACCTGCCACAACGCTACATGTGTGCTACTTCAAATTATTACACGTCACAGCGCTACATGTCTGCTATTTCAAATTATTACACCTGCCACAACGCTACATGTGTGCTACTTCAAATTATTTCACGCCACAACGCTACATGTATGCTACTTCAAATTATTACACGTCACAACGCTACATGTGTGCTACTTCAAATTATTACACGCCACAGCGCTACATGTCTGCTACTTCAAATTATTACACATCACAACGCTACATGTCTGCTACTTCAAATTATTACACATCACAACGCTAGATCTGCTACTTCAAATTATTACACATGCCACAACGCTACATGTCTGCTACTTCACAGGGTTCACAGAAGGAATCAGAATAAACGGCAGAACAAAGGCTATCCCGTACTATCCCTCAGCAATCGTGTGGCACTCAGGCGGGAATTGCCTAAAAGTCGTGCCGGGCCGGGCCAAGACGGGCCAAAGTTGTATTGGCTAATTACTCCATTATCGACGACCATACCAACATATTATTGATGCAAAAAACACACATGACATTAATGAACAATCCCAAACCAAATCCGTCCACCATAATTACGTGATTGGGAGTAAATCGGTTGAAAATCAGAAAATCTAGCTGTGTGTGAGCGTCGCTGAGCTAGGTAACATGTAAAAGAGCAACCCCTAAACGAAATGGGATTTGGAACGTATCAAATACTTCAAGCTATCGTTTTTCCGTCTGTTGGCATAGCGTTAACATTTTTAGGATAGTACTATATCTAAGTAAATACCACTTTCTAATGCCACTGTTCACCGTATTAAAAGCAGACACGTTCGTTAAAGTTGAACTTTCTTCCCCATCTCCTCAACAGTCTAAAAAGTGTCCGGGCCGACTTGGTCCGGGCTGTCAAAATCAACTTAAACTTCGTGGTATTTAAAGAAAACACGGTGGTCAAAGTGAAGCACTTTTCCTTCTGCATTCTCGACATAGTCTCTGTCAGAAGTGTTTAGTATGTGTTGGGTCCGACTTGGCCCGGGCGGTCAAAATCAACTTTAAATTCACAGGACTGATTGTTCTGTCTGACATCAATGCGGAAAAGACCTTTGAAGATATTCAGTTATGCCCATGAACGTCATTGTAATTGTTCTTGTCATGAAATGGGCATGGAAATATAAGCAACAAAACCCTTTCCATGTTCATGAGAAATCTAATGAGTCGATTGTACGGTTCCGAGTGTATCACGAACATGTGTTTATGAGTCACTGATGAGTCATTGTCATTGTTTGTTTGTTTTTTAATCACATTTGTTTTACACTTTAATGAAACCCACTACATTGCTCATTCTTGTTTGAGTTTGCTCTTTATGCAATTGAAAATTCAAAGAGCTGTTGTTAAATATGATCACGTCTATTTCACAATCACTCATTCCTGAAACAGTTTGTAAAACGTAATCTGTGGCTTGTTAGTTTTGAGTAAATTGTAGTTGGTTCAATGAAGACTGAGGTAAGAAATAAATATGCAACCACATGGCGCCTACCATGTTTAAAATGTTGTAAACTTGTGTCGAAAAAAGCAAACATTGTACAAAAGCAAAGATAAGATGCCCAAAGTACCCATCAACTTTTGTGTTTTAGGCTAAACATTTGTTTCATTTCTTTTAAGGTTTTAAATTAAAGTATTCTTTGAGTGCTGAGTAAGCGCCAGCACAGTTCATGTTTTGGATATAGTGTCGCTAGTTTAAGATAGTTTCAATCAACCATACAGTAAACTACGGTTATAACGAACTTAAAGGGACTGCTAATTTTAGTTCGTTATAACCGTAGTTCGTTAGCATATATACAACATAACTACAGCAAAAAATCGGGACCAAAAAAGTAAGTTCGTTATATCCGTCAGTTCGTTATAAGCGTGTTCGTTATAACCGTAGTTAACTGTATGATAAAATCAACAGAGAGGTATAGTTTCTTTTGTTTCTCAGTTTACACTGTTGAAGTCTTGTTTATACTTCATTATGTTTGGATTGGCATCTTATATCACAGTGAGCAACTGTTTCAGTAATATTACTGCCGGACAAGTGCAGTTAAAAACCCTTTCCAAGGATACAACACAGTGATTTGCATGATATGCCCTCTGGAAATGGAAGATTTGAAATGATTATAAATATACAAGTGTAACAGGCATACTGTCTCCCAAGCTCATGTCTCTTTGTAAGATTATGGCTTTGGTCATGAAAAACTCTGTATTGATGAGGATGGTAATATTGAAGTAGAGATTTTTTATTGAATTCTTTTTCAAGCAGATGAAGGCTGAGCTTTTTTCACACAGAATTATGAACGTGTGGCCCCTACCCACCCCTAGAAATCAAATGGTCCACCTAATAATAGAAAAGTAGTTCTTTATCAGTCATTGTCGGTGGGTATCTTAACATAATTATATGTACATTATAGGTTACCAAATGCCGAGTTGCGGTTACCACAATATTCAAAGGAAGTGTAACAATAAATGGGAAATCGACTTAGAGTGTGTATTTCATGTTTCAACAGAGAGCTGGATTTTTTCTGAAGACTGTGACCTTAAACCTTTTGCCTCACAATGAGCTCTGTGACGTCATAATAGTGACGCGCTGTACGACTAAACCTTGCAAGGCTTGCTTCATTTTCTTTGGGGGGATGCCAACTTTAGGTTGGCTTACGAAATAACTGTGGTACACACGTTCAGTGCCTGTCATTTATGCGAGTAAAGAATAATGATGTGAAAAAGTAATGTTTGAGCACTGTCACGTGTTGATTCACAAATGGAAAGGAGAAGGCTTACCCAGAAATCAGTACTACAGAACTAAATTGTGAAATTATTAAATATCCTCACAAGATCAATGTAAGTCTACAATTGGACGACACTTGTGTCCTCTGTTGCTCAGCAGGACGTGTTGGATGCTTTCCTTGTTTGAAGCAGGCAGTGACGAATTGTAGCTGAGATGTTTTTGTGCTAGTAATGTAATTAGTTCCATTTATTACACTGCAAGAAGTGTACGATGCTAATGATAGTTTGAAAGTTACAAATCAGCAGTCAGTGACAAGCTTTTAGCGGATATGTTTTATGCGCTAGTGATGCATTAGTTACGTTTATTACACTACTCTGCTGTTTACTGTGATGTTGGATGTAACCTATATAACCGATATTGCCCCACTACATAAGAAGGGTCATGTTAAATAGCCATCTTACTGCAGAGGTATTATTTACTGAGTGTGTTAAGTAAGGTGCATATCGGAGTCTTCATAGAAGGTTACAGTTTTGCACAGAGACGATTGATGAAAGTGTGGAGTCCATAGCTGGCTTCTGCCATTGTTACTCAACTGCGGATTTTCTGTAGACTGTGATGTAAATATAGAATACTAAACGAGCTCCCGTGTAATACCAGTTTTATGAAACGAGTGAATAGTTGTGGTATCTGACGAGCGAAAGCGAGTCAGATACCACAACTATTCACGAGTTTCATAAAATTGGTTTTACACGGGAGCGAGTTTAGTATTTTATTTATTACTTGCCATTTATAACGTTTTTTAATTATACTGTTGAGTATGAATAGGTTGACACGATCCACGACATAGTCCAATTGAGTTTAACAGAATAATACTTCAAAAACGTCAAAAGTTGAAACGTATGAATTTCATACCATACAACGGTCCACCTTTAGAATTCACAAAGCTAAGCTAAGGCTATCGCATCTCACATATTTTAACTTAGACTAACGACTGTCGTTGCGCTACAATACGATAGCCTTGTGGAACGGGCCTTGCATCTCAAAGTTTTCAGTAACGTCACAATACCCGATGACGTAATTTGTGGAATTTTGTTGCAAGATCCATCGGCGAAACAATGCCATGTGACGTCAGCCTAGCAACAAGGTTGCTGGGGTCATCGCGTGTGCATAAGCTCCTCTCAGTGATCTATCAACTCCACACGCAATGTCGTTGAATACGCCAAAGGATGTTGAGAGCTTTCAATATTTGTTCGTGAAACGTGTTCCGAGAGTACATAAGCACGCGTTTTGGTATTACACAATGTGTAATAAAGCTGTATGTTTATTAAACGGGTGATCTCTTCACGGGCAAGTAATAATACCTTTTTCCTCACAATCTATGTGACGTCATAATAGTGACGCCCTGTGTAAGACTGAACCTTGCAAGGCTTGATTCATTTTCCTTTAGGGGGTTGCAATAATTAATAACATATTTATTTTGCAGTCAGTTTTAAAACGACATTTGTCTGAAAAGAGAGAATGTCTCGCCGAGGTGTAGCACAGAGTGCATATGTTGCAACCCAATACCTTTCAAATACGTTTGTGACAAAGACCATTTGTCATTTGATTCTTAAAAATAGGAGGAATTCAAGGATGTATTATCGCAGCAGATTGTAAAATATATATGATGTAATACGCAGCCTCATTACCGGCATACGTGAAACGTGATTTTGTAAACACTATCCAATATGGCGGAACGTTCATTTCGGCGTTTATGTTTGCTTATTTTCCAAAACATTCAAAACGATTCTAGGGCTATCGGTGACGTTTTGGAATAATCATTGGTGATTTGATGAAAGACAGATACCCGTGATCACTAATATGCATTTCTTGAAAGTCTATTCTCCGAGTAAATAGACGTATTTGGATGTCAAAACATACTGTAAACACCGCTGTGATTGGTGATTCAGTAATGTGTCACAGGTCATTTTCAGTAATTTTGCTTTGCCTAAAATTACAGTGGATGATATCACAGAACAGGGAATTTCCCACATTATTCAATACTGTGAAGAGTATTTGTGTGCCAATTTTGTTCGACTTCAAATTGAGGGTTGGAGAGGAGGAATATATGTGTCCCTCTTAAACTGAAGTCCATAACGTTGGGTACTTGTCAGGAACTTCTTTCTTAGCCATTCTTCGGTTGGTCCGCTCTAACTGGTAAGGCACTGGGTCCTCTTCAACTGGATACAGCACAGACAGTGTAGAAGTAGCACACACGCACTCGTAATAAGGCGAACCGGAACTACAACATGAACCGTTTTCGGTTTCGGGTTGGGGAATATGGACTCGGCAGCCTTTCAGGGTACCAGACATTCAAATTGTGGCTAGGGTACATTTCTATTAACAGAAATGTACCTGGGATCACAAGTTCCATATAGTGTGAAGTCAATATTTAAAACCTGGGCCCACTTGCACAAAGCGATCTTAGTGCTACGACTTTTGTAAGCCTATGTTAAAGTATGGTAGCGCTAAGATCCCTTTGTGCAAGTGGGCCCTGGTGAGGGGTAACTGTGATTGACAGTGCATCTAGCATCAATATTCTGCCAATCAATTTCTAAAACGGTTTCCCCTAATCATGTGTGCATAATTAATAACAAATGGTACTAGTTCTGTTTAGTAATATATCCAGTTTTAGTTTCAAGATGAAATGGATGTTCAGAACCTGGTTATACGAAATTACCTGACTGAATGTTACACTCCAGAAGAAATATTTGCATGCTGCAGTTTTAAACATTTACCTTTCATTTCTTAAAAGAAAGAAAACGACACGATATTTGTCAACTGTTTTATGTATACAATATTCAAACAGACATTATAAGACACAATATTTTTCAATTTCTTACATAAACAACGGTCCAATTTACATTAGATTAGTATTTTGTGGCCTATATCTGATATGATATTGAACAGTAGATCTACTAACTTCTTTGAGAGGTATTTAGAGGTTAGAGTTCTAAGTAAGGATAAGATATATAGATGAACAACTTCTTTATTACTTTATTACAGATGTAGTTACAATGGAATGGAGAAGCCTGTTATGTACACAAAAAGGTAGTAAACATTTTGATCGACGAAGTGAGATATACTCTACTGTATAAACATTGCCTCCTACCTGTATACATACTTGTCAACCATACTCTGTATATCACTTGCTTGATAACGGTGTTAGAACCTACACCGAAACGTAGCTCCTAATTGTAATAAAGAAGTTGTTCATCCATAAATTTTATCCTTATTTAGTAGATCTAGTAAAAGTATATTTCCAAAATTTGAAATGTAATCAGATTCTACATCATGATGAAAACAGTGAACTGAATAACTGTGTGTGAAGTTCCATTCGACCTTCACCTCTAAGAAACTGTCAAATATGTAGAACAATGTTGACCTACGTATGACATCACTATCGGTGACCTCTTTTCACGTATCTGTTATATACACATAAAGGAATCAAGTAAGTAATAAGGATGAATTGACAATCTGCTGTTGTTTTGTACGGGCTGTTACACCTTGCATCACAACCCAAAGACTTGGTGGAAAATGCAGATAAATATTGTCGACGTTGTGCGCGAGTTTGCGTCAGTCATGGCGTCACGCGAAACTTAATTTTCACTTTATTTTGTATTTACCATATTGTAATGTATGCATTTTTAATTCCCTAATTCTTCTCACAGAAGAAATCCCATGCATATTCTTAGATGACCCAATTATGCGACGAATAGAATGAATGGATATCTCACAATAGTAGAAATCTAAAGATTCTAAAATCTAAAATCTGGATTTGGCTTTGTTTACATTTTCAAACAGGGACGATTTTCAGAGCACATTAGGGCTGGGACGAGTTTAAATTTACTACCCCGGTACCCACCCCCTTATAACCAGACCCTACCGGGTACCCGCTGTGGGTCTCAAGAGACAGGTACAAAATATCCGTCCGATTGGGAATAGTATTGACCGTAGCCTTGGCAAAATGTATTTAGATACCCGTATAAAACGGTCTGGTCATACAGACACTGAGGTTGACTGAAGTTTTATCTTTACTCAAATGAATAAAGTCAGAAAAAATGCGTGTATTGTCTGAAAGCAATGCGAACATTGGTGACTTATAGTGTAACCATGGAGTTCTACATTTTTCATATTTTTTTATTTATTTATTTTTAAACAATATATCACGTGACAAACCACGGGTCCGGGTAGGCCTGTGGGTACCCGGGTCCTACTAACTACCCACCAAACCAATGTGCACGAGTTAACCGTGCGGGCCCTAGAGCACATCTTTCGTTTTCTGCACCTGCTTTATTTCGCTTGATTTCATCTAGACCATCAGTGATAGTTTGTCATTTGAGTTTAAAACGTACGAAGAATTTTGGAATGTATGTATCGCAACTAAGAGTGAAATATTTACAATCGGCCTACGCGAAACGGGATTTTGTCGACTCTCTCACTTCGGCGTTCGTGCTTTATTCTCTCGAGTATATACTTACTGCAGTAACGATTTTAATGTTGCAGGCGAAGTTTCAGAATGGTTATTGGTGTCTTGTTAAATCACAGATATCCGTGATCACTGACATGGTGCTTTTGTAACTGAATTCTCTGAGAAAGTATCAGCTATTCTGAATTTAAAAAATACATGAATTTACACCGCGAATGATGGTTTAATATTTCATGTAAACAATAGCGATATTTACTCTAGAGGCCTACTTAACTTTCAGAAGTCGTTTACAGTCATTTTGTTTTGCGTAGAATGACTGCATATCACAGAACAGAGATTGTCACGAAGAATTTACAACTGTGCACTGGATTAGAGTACGTGATGTATTTTGAAAACTTCAAAGACAGCGTTAGGGCTGAAGGGGACATATAGCTTCCACAATCCAGGGGTTTATTAATTAAAAATGCAAATAAACATAGAGACATGCGCTCACCTCAAAAAAATGTTTTGAGTGAAAATAGTTCCAACACACTGCTCTGCTAATGTTAATTTTGTCGGTGGCACTTTTACCTCGCAAACAAACTTCACGTAGCCATTTGTTTTCGATACCGAGGACCAATTAACGCTATGTTTAATGTCGTCCAATCGCAGCCTACGATAAGTCGGCCGCCGTCTGTCTAGTTGAGGTAGACAGGAACCCAGTCTAACATTGATCGGGAACCAAACCGGAAGGGACAGGTTGGACGGTCGCTTATGTCATTTCAAAAGAAGAGTTATTGCCCTTTGGAACAAAATGATCGCCCATTGTGGTTGTTGTGGTTTTGCCACACTGGTATTTCCTGTCTCTTTCAGTGCGTGTGACTGGATACAGGCGGTGGCGTAGCCTAGTGGTTAAAGACAGGGTTCGATAACCCATATTGGTACAATGTGTGAAATCAATTTTGGTGTCTCCCTCCGTTGGTAAAAGCGGCGTAAAACCATACTCACTCTCCGTGTCTTTCAATCTTTGCTATCAATATGCCAGATATTGAAAACACAAATCACATATTGGCAAAAGGCCTTCACTACATAGCTTAATAACGGACACAGTGGTAATACATTTGATGAGGAAAATGAGTTGTGACAGAGTGAGTGAGTTATTGAGGGAAGGACCAAGCTGGGTGTAACGCCCCATTAACGGTATTTCAGCTATAATCCGTGTCAGCTTTATTTGGGTGATTGGTCGTAGTTAGGGTTAATGATGCCAGCTGTCACCCTGTCCTCTTCCGTGCCCGGGGGTGAAGCTGTTGCATACTTGGGAAGTTCCGTGCCTGATGTATAGTCCTCGGGGCTCTCTACCCGATCTCGTCCGTATGTATGTTTCCGTCGAGCCCGAAGCCAGTGGCACGACCGCCGTCTCGAGTATCTGGAAAATAAGTCATTTACTAAAAGATAGTCTCAGTGAATGCATGATGTTTGACGGCGCAGTAGGCAATATTCCAGCAATATCACAGAGGCCTTTAACCTATTGAGCACACCGTCGGGGTTCGAACAATCTCGCCACAATCAGATCTGTTACCCCGACAACACACATTCTGCGTTAAGATGTGAGCACCTCCACAGTTCGCGTTTGGTGAACCCTGATCGAACTTTGACTGTCCAATTTAAATGAAGGATGCGTTGGTTCTTGAGCCAATCAGATTTCAGCTTTCTGAAACGATTTGGCTTCATTTCCTCATCGCCTCGGTTCGATACAAATGAAAACCTACGTAGAACTCAAATACTTATTTGATGGTACTTCGTTTTGGAAGCACATGCAAGGGCCCTCAGATGCGACAGGGTGCATAACAATATACTATATAATGTTATGGCTCGGTCTTATTCATCTACATTCGGAACTTGTCGTTTGTTACTACATCCTGGAGTGGACATGTCTACCTGAGGAAGATGAACGAGTGTAGCACGATGCACAGGACGAGAACACACGAGACTATAATGCCGGCCAAGGTACCTGGAACAGAATACAGGACGAGTAACACAACATGCATGTGAATATAGAGAGTAGCACATCGTGTGAATACAGGAAATTATCAAAACTTGTGAATAGAAGACCATAAACGCATACAGTGGATATAGGGAATTACATAACATGTGAATACGGTGTGGAACTGACAATCTACATTTTTCCACATTTTAAAAAAAAAACGCGTATTGCCCCCAAAATAAAATACTCGGGATTATTTTGATCGAAATACCAATGAGGAGGAGAATTTATAGATGTAAACTACTTTATTATGAGGAAACTCAACGTTTCGGAGTGTATACTTACTCCTTCATCAGGTTTGTTTGTTTGTTGTTTAAAGCCGGACTCAACAATATCCCAGCTATATGACGACGGTCTGTAAATAATCGAGTCTGGACCAGACAATCCAGTGATTGACATCATAAGCATGGTTCCACGAAATTGGGACACGATGACATGCATCAACCAAATCGCGAGCCTGACCACCTTATCGCCTCTCACGGCAAGCATGGGTTGCTGAAGACCTCTTCTACTCCGGATCTTTACGGGTTTCATGTGACAATAGATTCGCATCTTAAACACTGGAATGTATGTTTAAGTAATATTGACATTATTGCCTTGAACCCAACCTATGATATCAACTTACTTCAAGTATGACCAGGAATACTGCATGTGTTTACAGTTCCATAATGGGGAACACTTCTGGGACCAGTTTCCTTGACAGTGGCACGGAGCAGTGTACTTAGAACAGGCTTTGCGCAAGACCCATCACAGGTGAAGTGTATCAATGTAAAATGTAAAACAGATTCTGCTTGGCGTAAAGGGCAAGTAGTAGCGGCTGGGTCGCTGAAAGTCAGTGATAACACCAGGTGTTCGCTAAAATGGGTAACCATGTCCTGCTCTACTCGTACCACCCACCATTCACACAATTTGCATATAATATTACGTGTTTGTTTGTTGCCTGATGCACGGCAGTACTCCTGCCTCAGAACGGCTGCTTGTAAACAATCAGGCCTTGGCAAGACAATAAAGTGATGGACCAGACAATCAAGTGATGGACCAGACAATCAAGTGATGGACCAGACAATCAAGTGACGCGACAGCGCATTTACTGTTCTTGTTAGAACTAAAAACGATATGTTAATTTTGAATAACGTCTGCTGCGTACACAAGCAGAAATTCTGCCGCTAACAAGTAGATTATAATCTATAAATGCTGCTGAGCGTAGGATGAACCTCGGGTGCCTACAGTCGACCCAGTTCAAGGAAATTTAAAACGTCAATGACAGATTCTAGACAGCAATTCCAATTTTCCCTGAAACAGCATGTTGTGCCTGACCAAGGGTTGTGGACTTTGGTAGCCACGTATTACTGCTTGTCCTATCGACCCGTGAGAATCGGGGTAGACTAGGTCTTCAGCAACCCATGCTTGCCGTAAAAGGCGACTATGCTTGTCGTAAGAGGCGACTTACTGGATAGTCTGGTTCAGACTCGATTATTTACAGACCGCCGTCATATAGCTGGAATATTGCTACGTGGGCGTTAAACAACAAACGAAACAAATCAAATCAAAACAAACAACGTAACATGGGAAATGATGTTTTAGTGCTGGTCCAGTATCTGAATCAAATGCCATGAAACGCATCTTTGTCTTGACTGTGGCCTCTCAGATCCGGAATGTCGGACAAGATTTGATTCGTTTGTTTTGTTGTGTGTACGGTTACAGAATTGACCAAGTTTGTGCAGTCTTATACGAGTCATAGATTCCGCAGATCTGTCACATGGAAGATAGGCCTTGCTTCAAATGAATGCATTTTAGTACCAAAACTAAAACTTTGTGATAAGTATGTAGTTGAAAGTCAACGCAAAACACGCAAGACGTACTTTGGGGCGACATTAAACCCCCTCTGAGTTCCTGAAGACTTATATATTATTATGGGTACTGGTATCATAAAACACGACCCCGGGTAACTGCTGTGCAAGAGCTATAATGAATTAATCATTGGTTAACTAACCTCTGAGGATGCATTTTTTACATGTATTACGGTTCAAATTTTGTTCCTGAGTCAGTATTAAAGGTAAAACCTTATGTTTGCCTGCTACGAGACTTTTGCTCCCGGACTGTAGGTTTGCGTACCTTCTGAGAGCCCTTGAGTTGAGGGTTGGTCTGTGCCATGCTGGGTGTTGCCATGAGACGTCGTGCGATGGCCATGGGGCGTCTGGTTGTGTTGCCTCGCTTTGGTAGTATGTGGTGGTGTTGTGGGTGTTGTGGATGTAGCCGATGATGACGTTGATGATGCCGTTGTCGATGCCGTTGTCGGTGTCGGTGTCAGTGTCGGTGTCGGTCGCTTCCCTGTTGGGTGAATATGGCGGATATACTAGCGGAAAAAAATCTTGTGCACAACAACAAAAACACATCAAATGAAAATTGTCTTGAATTTTTCAGAATCACGTATGATAATCACATGTACAAACATTTTTCATAATTACCCATAACGACCCGGAAATCGCACGTGCATCCCGGCCATTGCGGGCATAAAATCCCAAGTGTAAGAAATTCGTCACACATTCACAGTACACATGGGACAGCCAATTCAAACACAGATAAAATCGTTGAAGTGTTTTAATGGTGACAAGGAACTTTTGCTGACGGCCAAGCCTCCAATCTCATTCAATTCAGAGCTAACTTCTCGCAACCACTAAACAAAGATCTGAGGACATCCCATTACAGGTCACGTCAGAACGACGGTTCGCAAACTTTGACCGACCAATGAAATGACTAACAAGAAATCGACATTAGCCAATCAGAAAGCCGCTTTCTCGAGCTATACAAGCACCAGTTTCAAACTGGCGACTATTCCAGAGTACGAAATATATTTTGACAAAGTTCTCGATTCAAAATTTGAAAAATGAACAAAACACATTCTGGAATGTCTAATAGATGGTCGAGGATGTACAGCAGTACTTCCCACGGGTCATGCGAAGTCTCTGCAGTTGGTTATCCCATTGAAGCTCATTGAAGCGAGAGATAGACAATGATTTTGACGGAATCAGTCTCACCGCCCGAAACTGCCGTTCGGAATACTCCGTGTTAACCTTTTCTAGGTTGCTTGATCAGAAAACATATTCCTACTGTCACTTTCCTGATCTGGCAACTCTTTATTGAGTGAGTGAGTATGGTTTTACGCAGCTTTTAGCAATATTCAAGCAATATCACGACGGGGGACACCAGAATCGAACCAGGGTCTTTGGCGTGACGAGTGAACGCTTTAACCACTGGGCTACCCGACCGCCCAACTCTTTATTAAATACCTTATATAAATGCTCTAACGAGAATGATATGGAAGCCCTTCGGTTCGTGATGTAAGTTCCATTTAGTTCAAAACTTGTCAAAGTTATGCTTCATGTGCTTGGGTTGAAATCACATTGTTTACAGTTCAGCGAGAAATGGCAGTTGCTTCCTGCCAACTTCCGGTTTGGCATGAACGGCGCATACCGCCTGTGAATATATTCCCTACAAGAAAATTCAACAAATAACAATATAAATAAAGACATTACACCAAGCCTCAGCACATGTTTGCGTGTTTCACTAGTTGAGCTAACAGTAGACACCAACTTGTCAGACAGTCATATCCTACACCAGACACCGACCCGTGAAGATCCGGTGTAGAATAGGTCTTCAGCAACCCATCTTGCTGCAAAAGGCGACTATGCTTGTCGTAAGAGGCGACTAACGGGATCGTGTGGTCAGGCTCGCTGACTTGGTTGATGCATGTCATCGTATTCCAATAACGTGGATCGATGCTCATGATGTCAATGACTGGATTGTCTGGTTCACACTCGATTATATACAGACTGCTGTCATATGGCTGGAATATTGCTGAGTGCGGCATTAAACAACAAACAAACAAACACCGGACACCTACTTGTCACACAGTCATATCCGGTCCACCCCGGCTCACACCCGGCGTCACATTGGCCAGTCAGAGCATCACACGTGTCGTCCACACAGTGGCCGCACGTTTCATTGCAGTGGAGGGAGTAGAAGCCTGCGGCGCAACCTGGAGCCAGACATTCGGTTTATTTACACAAGTAGAGGTTGCTGCAGAGTATCAATTGTTCCGCGCCATAAAATGCCATATGCAGAGGAAGGAAGCGTCAGCAATGGGAGGAGAGGATTGGCGTAAAGTACAAATTGGTTGTTGTTAATGTAGTTATCTTTTTGAAAGTACAATAAAAGAAACAGTGTCTTTAAATGATCAGCTAGAAACCTGGGCCTGTCAGGCAGAACTTGATATGTACCCACTATTAGTACCAGTTATATATAAAATAATTGATTACAAGTCCTATATAGATGTCATTCTTAAACATGCTTTGGCAGCAAATATCAATATTTCTGGTCAAAATGTTGGCTGGGTTAAATAAATCAGAATTTTGAAAAAGTAAATACAAATAAATGACATGAATCCACCAAAAATAAACTTCATTCTAAACGTAAAAATATGTTCCGCATTCATTAAGGGATTCCCATTTATCTAACAGCAAGTTAAGAACACACAGGTTGGTAAAGTCTTCTATAAATATTGAGAATTATCTTACATATTGTAAACGCAAAGCTCACATGTCACATTTCTCAAAACTTCGTTTAAGTAATCACAAACTAAAAACTGAAACTGGTAGATATACAAAATTACCAACCCCATTGGAACAACGTCTCTGTGATACAACCAAGAAAGAGAATCACAAATAATCCTTAACCATGATAAAGAATTTGGTACACTCTGTTAAAAGGAACAGTTCTTCAATTTTACCAATAGTTATCCAGAAACAACTTCCAAGATCCGTTATCATATCAACAATTATGGACAAATTCCTTGTATAATATTATACATTACCATAGTTTTGCTCATTTTTTATATTGTTTCCATATCATTATAATACTCTTGTTTAAGAAAAAAATTGTTATCATGTACCTACTTTGTATGTTGAATGTACCTGTCTTTTAATTGTCACTTATTGTGCTAGATCTTGTAGTTTGTGATAGTGTTATATTGCCACTGTTTCTTCATGGAATGTTACGCAATACATAATATATCTCATCAAAAAACATCTTTGTTGTATGATAGTTTCTTACAGTTGTGTACGGGAGCACGGTTGGCCCAATCGCCTAAGGCGCTGCAATTCGTTGTGTCCCTTTGGCACGCCAGAAAACCTATGTCAGTGTGTTTAAATCCCGCTTCGCCCTAATAATGTTTTCAGCACTATACCCGTGCTCATGGGTTTCACCAAAGTGGTGAACGTCTAAGACCTACATCGCATTGGGCTTTCCCCCCACATCAAGCCGTGATATAAGTCACTGTGGAATACTATTCAAAGCGGCGTTAAACCCAACTCACTCACTCACTCCTGCGTACGGTTCCGTTTGGTTAACTGGGTTTGTGTTGTGATTACTTCCGGTTTGGACTTGAATTTATTTAGAAAAATGTTATTGTGTTCAACCCAAACATATGAATATATCATGCAACCGTATTATGTTAAGTAATTGCAAACTACAGACCAACCTGTTGATTTCCTACGTATCCAGACACAAAGAACATATACGGGTGTAAAATCTCTGGCGGAAGTTAATAAAAACTGTCAAAGCAATAAACCATGCAGAACCGTAAACAGCCGCATGAAACGGTATGAATCATACATTACATACAGTGAACTTCTTGGAAGAATACTGTACTCAACTATGCACAGCAAGCACCAAGACAACTAATTACAAATTTCTCATATCAAACCCGTTGTTTTACATACGTTGTTAAACGTTGTAGAAGCCTGGTATTTAATCGAGTTGAACAATAAGTTGCAATAGCAGTGTGAAGGGAGAAAGCTTGAGTGCACGTTACAGGGTTGACCTGAATTCCTCCCTGGAACCTTTCTCACTAGCTGCCTGAATAACATATGATACATTGCGAAGGAACCAGATTGAGAACCAGCTACGTACTGTCACATAAATCTCCACCCCAGCCAGGAGCACATTCGTCCAGACAGATGCCGGTCAGCTTGTCACAGGGGGCGGGGTCCACGCAGTGTCCACACACTTGGCTGCAGTCCATGCCGAACCGGCCGTCAGCACACTCTGGGACAGGGACAGTGAGGTAGTCAGGTGCGCTAACTCTCATACCGAAACTAAAAGGCGTATTAAAGTTCTGAAGCCTCATTAACAACCTACTCCGATACCTCTTTTGATTCATCTTCCCTAATCTAGGGATTTAACTGACTGTAAAAGTCCAGTTTCCACCCTTGCGAACTAGGACGGGATATTGGAGTTATATTTTGGCTGGCCAATCGAGTCTAGTCCAATCAAAATAGCGTAACGAAATCGACATCCTGTTCGAAACTGCTGTGCAGATTTCAGTTGATTGCAGGATTTGCAAAGCATGTGTACCGTCTACTGGTCGTCGACAGATATTTTCCAAATCTTTCCATGTTGTCAATCAAGGTGCTCACATGATTTAATGCACTTCGCGAAAGTAAGACCCGTTTTATTACAATATAGATCTTTATTATCGATCAGAGGCGACGCCAATTTTTTTGAAGCAAATGCCAGAAATATGAGAGGTGGAATCTGATTGGTAAATAGTATGAACATAGAAGGGACAAAACTTGTAATAGCCACCTGTGGCGCTACGATCGAGCCCAGAAATTCGAGCCGAGTTCGGCAAGGATGGAGACTGAGCTTTTACAGTCAGTTAACTCCCTTTCCTCGGGAAGATGATTTTGATTATTTACTCTACGGTATTGTGGGGTACTTGGGTGCCTCTGAATAAACAACTAAATTAACAAGAGTGAATATCGTCAGACTTTTATTGGAATTGATGTCTCGTCAGTGTCAAACTGTTTTTGACATCCTGTTCTTTGAACTTGTTGACACAGCGCCCCCAGTGTACTACTTACCTTGTTGGCACAGCGCCCCCTGGTGTACTTCCTTCCTTGTTGACACAGCGCCCCCTGGTGAACATCCTACCTTGTTGACACAAGGCCCCCTGGTGTTCTTTTGGACTTGTTGACACAGCGCCCCCTGGTGTACCTCTTACCTTGTTGGCACAGCGCCCCCTGGTGTACTTTACGACTTGTTGACACAGCGCCCCCTGGTGTACATCTTATCTTATTGATACAGCGCCCCCTGGTGTTCTTTTTGACTTGTTGACACAGCGCCCCCTTGTGTACCTCTTAACTTGTTGTCACAGCGCCCCCTGGTGTACTTTTCGACTTATTGACACAGCGCCCCCTGGTGTACTTCCTCCCTTGTTGACACAGTGCCCCCTTGTGTACTTCTCACCTTGTTGACACAGTGCCCCCTGGTGTACTTCCTACCTCGATGACACAGCGCCCCCTGGTGTACCTCTCACAGCGCCCCCTGGTGTACTTTTCGACTTATTGACACGGCGCCCCCTGGTGTACTTCCTCCCTTGTTGACACAGTGCCCCCTGGTGTACTTCTCACCTTGTTGACACAGTGCCCCCTGGTGTACTTCCTACCTTGATGACACAGCGCCCCCTGGTGTACCTCTCACCTTGTTGACACAGCGCCCCCTGGTGTACTTCCTTGTTGACACAGCGCCCCCTGGTGTACTTCCTACCTTGTTGACACAGCGCCCCCTGGTGTACTTCCTACCTTGATGACACAGCGCCCCCTGGTGTACTTCCTACCTTGTTGACACAGCGCCCCCTGGTGAACTTCTCACCCTGTTGACACAGCGCCCCCTGGTGAAGTTCTCACCTTGTTGACACAGCGCCCCCTGGTGTACCTCTTACCTTGTTGACACAGCGCCCCCTGGTGTACCTCTAACCTTGTTGACACAGCGCCCCCTGGTGTACCTCTCACCTTGTTGACACAGCGCCCCCTGGTGTACCTCTCACCTTATTGACACAGCGCCCCCTGGTGTACCTCTTACCTTGTTGTCACAACGCCCCCTGGTGTACCTCTTACCTTGTTGACACAGCGCCCCCTGGTGTACCTCTAACTTTGATGACACAGCGCCCCCTAGTGTACCTCTCACCTTGTTGACACAGCGCCCCCTGGTGTACCTCTCACCTTATTGACACAGCGCCCCCTGGTGTACCTCTAACCTTGTTGACACAGCGCCCCCTGGTGTACCTCTCACCTTGTTGGCACAGCGCCCCCTGTTGTACTTCTCACCTTGTTGACACAGCGCCCCCTGCCACCCAGAGTCGCAGCCATTCGGGCAGCGTCCGGTCGTTTTGTTGCAGGGACCGTCGTTTCGACACTCTCCACAGTGAAACTCACACTTGGAGCCGTACCAGTCGTCATGACAACCTGACAAGTAAAGGAGCCTACGTGACACATTCACGCTTTGGTAGTGATAATATTCACATCTGCCTAACTGGTCCCATCAGCCTAACTGGCACAATCGCTCAGTTGCAGTTCGGACTCGAAACGATCAACACCTCATTGCCTGAAAGCCAGCCCGCGAGACACACCCACGGGATCATTATATTATTCTTTCACCTCACTCTAAACTCTAATCCCTCACCATCATACTAAAAACTTCTCATTCTCAATCCTTTAATTATATAGTAGTAGTAGTAGTAGTAGTAGTAGTAGTAGTAGTAGTAGTAGTAGTAGCAAAATTTTAAGTATATCGCCCAAGAGCAATAACAGTTAAATGTATTTTTGATAATTTTGTAAAAGAACTCAAGGATCTCAACTCAACTATCTTGTGAATGATAGAAAAACAGTCCCCAGCTCATTATACACACACGCACGCACGCATGCGCACAAACAAATTTAAAGTCTAAGGCATCTTCCTAATTAAACTGGCCTAGTTGGCCGTATATAATCACACACACAAAATCACCACTAATCTTAAACCCAAACCATCACAATTAAATCAAAAATAAAATCAATCACACTACCCCTACTATCTCTTCCTCCCTCCAACCCTGGTAAAATTCCAAATTCTCCAAAATCTAAATATGCATCCCTAACGCCCCTTCCTTCCACGGTTGCTCCATTTTTTCAAACCAACACAAAATTGCCTGGCGGCCAATATGCGAAATAACCATAGTGTCGGGAAGCGCACGTAAAATCTCCAAATATCATCATCATCATCATCATCATCATCGCTCTCTTAGTACAGTGTGTGCCTACATTCAGGATCGGAGGAGATTATTTTTTATAGTCCCCCGAAAGCAACTTGTGTATTTGCAGAAAGTTCGCTTTTCAGCTGGAAGACATAGCTAGGGAAAAGGTGTTTGTGGGAATAGTCCACAATGTATACGTTGTAAAGTTTTAAGGAAGAGAATTATTTTATTTATGTCAACGTCTTTATTATGTGGAACACAACATATCGGGGTATATACTTACTGCTTCATAGACCTGATTTGATTTGTTTGTTGTTTAACGCCGCACTCAGCAATATTGCAGCTATATGGACCAGACAATCCAGTGACTTGACATCATGAGCATCGATCCACGCAATTGGGATACGATGATATGCATCAAATCAAGTCAGCGATCCTTGACCACAGGATCCCATTAGACGTAGACATAATGGCAATACTGAGATAGTGAGTATTGTTTTCACGCCACTTTTAGCAATATTCCAGCAATATCACGGCGGGGGACACCAGAAATGGGCTTCACTCATTCTGCCTATGTCGGGAATCGAACGTGGGCCTTCGACTTGACGAGCGAACGCTTCAACCACTAGGCTACCAGATCGCCCCTCATGGCAATACTGATTGTCCTGTCACGAGACGCGTACGTCCACGGGGGGGGGGGGGGGGGGGCGTTCCGGCCAGTACCTGGTGTGACCAGCGTGTGATGTTATCACTGATCTACACCTCCTTGGCTTGGCACAGACTGAATAAGTCTAAGGATTCTGTCCTGTGGAATTCTTCTCCATTCTCCCTGCAACACTTTGGCCAGTCGTGAAAACGTCTGTGGCGTACACTTCTATCGAGTTCATCTCACAGATCGTCACGGACGGTGTTTTCTTTGGGTTTCAGATTAAATCAACCACATGTTGCTTCATGCGAGATTTCTGTACGGTAACCTCTTCTCATTCGACTGATTGGAAAACAACCAATGTGTGCCTTACACCATTAACATGCCTTATTTACACGCCCTAGTTAATTATCACGTGTACGCATGGCATATTTACATATACACACGTATGTATAGTCCATGTGCAATATCACGGACGTGAGTAAATGGTGTGCATGTGAGCGGGGATAGTAGATGATGTATTGGTTTACGTAGTTAGATGTTTACACTGAATTTGGAATCTAAGTACATGGTCTATGAGACTATGCTGGTATAACATATTTTCATTATTGCAGGGCTAGATTGCTGATAGATTGGGGTTACACGCAGTTAGCACCAACTGTAAGACACAGGCTAATGTGAAACACTCGAGGCATCAAATGTATGCATGTATAGGAGTTTACATTGCAACAAGGCACTGCATACACGGAGAAGACAATTGTATAGGAACTAATGCTGATGTATTTTGGTCTACTTTGATATGACAAAATATTCCCGTGTCCTGTTCTAACTTCAAAACGTCAATTAAAGCTTCGATGTCCATGTTTCCTGTCCTACCAATTTCTAAATATCAATTTAGGACTTCGAGATATCCATGTTTTCTGTTTCCAAACTTCTAAATATCAATTAAAGACTTCGAGATATCCATGTTTCCTGTTTCCCAACTTCTTAATATCAATTAAAGACTTCGAGATATCCATGTTTCTTGTTCTACCAAATTCTAGGTATCAATTTAAGATACGCATGGTCACAGTTGGTTCCAGCGTGGTGTGCGGGGTAGGGTGTAGAACAGGTGCCGTTGTTGCGGTCGCAGGAACCGTTTCCAGGGCAACTAGGACATGACTGATCACAGTTTATGCCGTACAAGCCAGTCAGACATTCTGCCAGACAAGAAAATAGCTGTTAGGTATTGGTTAAAAGTTGTCTTCACATTTACCTTGCTATTTCTGATATTGATAATATTTGATCCAAATGCACCAGGAAGTCTGGATATGCTCCGGTCACGTCTAAGACCTGCATCACTTCAGGCTTTCCTCCCACATCAAGCCGTGATATAAGTGGAATGCTATTCAAAGCGGCGTTAAACTCCCTCACTCACTCCTGTGTACGGTTCCGTTTGGTTAACTGGGTTTGTGTTGTGATTACTTCCGGTTTGGATTTGAATTTATTTAGAAAAATGTTATTGTGTTCAACCCAAACATCGTGAATATATCATGCAGCCGTATTATGTTAAGTAATTGCAAACTACAGACCAACCTGTTGATTTCCTACGTATCTAGATACAAAGAACATATACGGGTGTATAATCTCTGGCGGAAGTTAAAAAAAACTGTCAAAGCAATAAACCATGCAGAACCGTAAACAGCCGCATGAAACGGTATGAATCATGCATTACATACAGTGAACTACTTGGAAGAATACTGTACTCAACTATGTACAGCAAGCACCAAACAAGTGATTGTGAAAACAACTTATTACAAATTTCTCATATCAAACCCGTTGTTTTACATACGTTGTTTATTGAACAAAGTCATACTTAACAGAAGCCTGGTATTTAATCGAGTTGAACAACTAGTTGCAATAGCAGTGTGAAGGGAGAAAGCTTGAGTGCACGTTACAGGGTTGACCTGAATTCCTCCCTGGAACCTTTCTCACTAGCTGCCTGAATAACATATGATACATTGCGAAGGAAGTGCGCAATAGTGCTATTTGGGTAAGGGAGATAATCCCTCACGCTTTAGTGATACAGCTTGAATACATACGATGTACAGCATTGTAAGGTCATTGAGTGATAAAGCTCTGTGCTACGCCTGAATTTAAAGAAGATAATCGCTCAATGCGCAATAGTTTATTCTTACAAAATATAGACCGGTTAACTTTAGCGAAATGAGATATATATTTCCCCTAAACATTTTTATACTCTTTTAAAAACAAAATAAACAAATGGCAAGGATTATCTACATTACAAAACGTGACTTAGTCTCAGAATGTGACAGGCGTTTGGTTAAAACATGTCCAGATTAAGTCACTCTCATTTCATTTTAATCTCCAAATGTTTCAGAGAAACCAAAATGGCGCTCTCTTTCAGTCAAACCTAAAGTAATCCTAAACAGTGTCAATCTGTGTCACATGCTTCTCGACGTTCTCCCCATTCCTAAAAAGCCTGTCATCACGAGCCCTGTGTTACAGGACTGTCAGCAGTGTGTGTACACGTGCAGAAGCCAGAACCTGGTAAGCGTTGTAAAATGTCCAACGGGGTGTGGGTATAGGGTGGGTGTGGGGTGGGCGTGGGATGGGCGTGGTTGTGGGTGGTCCGTGTTGGGGTGTGGGTTTCAGCGGTGGAGTGGGGAAGGTGTGTGTGTTGGTGTGTGTGGAAAATAATGTTGATTGAGAACCAGCTTCGTACTGTCACATAAATCTCCACCCCAGCCAGGAGCACATTCGTCCAGACAGATGCCGGTCAGCTTGTCACAGGGGGCGGGGTCCACGCAGTGTCCACACACTTGGCTGCAGTCCATGCCGAACCGGCCGTCAGCACACTCTGGGACAGGGACAGTGAGGTAGTCAGGTGCGCTAACTCTCATACCGAAACTAAAAGGCGTATTAAAGTTCTGAAGCCTTATTAACAACCTACTCCGATGCCTCTTTTGATTCATCTTCCCGAATCAAGGGAACTGACTGTAAAAGTCTAGTTTCCACCCTTGCGAACTAGGGCGGAATTATGGAGTTGTATTTTGGCTGGCTAATCGGGTCTAGTCAAATCAAACTCGCGTAACGAAATCGACATCCGGTTCGTAAACTGCCGTGCAGATTTCAGTTGATTGCAGGATTTGCAAAACATGTGTACCGTCTACTTGGCGTCGACAGATATTTTCCAAATCTTTCCATGTTTTCAATCAAGGTGCTCATGTCATTTGATGCACTTCGCGAAGTGAGACCCGTTTGATTACAATATAGATCTTTATTATCGATCAGATCGTCTTCACTTGGCGCCGCCTTTTTATTTGAAGCAAATGCCAGAAATATGAGAGGTGGAATCTGATTGGTAAAGTATGGACATAATAGGGACAAAACTTGTAATAGCCACCGGTGGCGCCATACGATCGAGCCCAGAAAGTCCAGTCGAGTTCGGCAAGGATGGAAACTGGGCTTTTGCAGTTAGTTAACTCCCTTGCCTCGAGAATATTCTTCTGATTATTTACTCTGCGGTATTGCGTGGTACTTGGGTGCCTCTGAATAAACAACTAAATTAACAAGAGTGAATATCGTCAGACTTTTATTGGAAGTGATGTCTCGTCAGTGTCAAACTGTTTTTGACATCCTGTTCTTTGAACTTGTTGACACAGCGCCCCCAGTGTACTACTTACCTTGTTGGCACAGCGCCCCCTGGTGTACTTCCTACCTTGTTGACACAGCGCCCCCTGGTGTACTTCATACCTTGTTGACACAGCGCCTCCTGGTGTACTTCATACTTTGTTGACACAGCGCCCCCTGGAGTACTTCATACCTTGTTGACACAGCGCCCCCTGGTGTACTTTTCGACTTGTTGGCACAGAGCCCCTTGGAGTACTTCCTACCTTATTGACACAGCGCCCCCTGGTGTACTTCCTACCTTGTTGACACAGCGCCCCCTGGTGTACTTCTCATCTTGTTGACACAGCGCCCCCTGGTGTACTTCTCACCTTGTTGACACAGCGCCCCCTGGTGTACCTCTTACCTTATTGACACAGCGCCCCCTGGTGTACCTCTCACCTTGTTGACACAGCGCCCCCTGCCACCCAGAGTCGCAGCCATTCGGGCAGCGTCCGGTCGTTTTGTTGCAGGGACCGTCGTTTCGACACTCTCCACAGTGAAACTCACACTTGGAGCCGTACCAGTCGTCATGACAACCTGACAAGTAAAGGAGCCTACGTGACACATTCACGCTTTGGTAGTGATGATATTCACATCTGCCTAACTGGCCCCATCAGCCCATTGGCTCAGTTGCAGTTCGGACTCGAAACGATCAACACCTCATTGCCTGAAAGCCAGCCCGCGAGACACACCCACGGGATCATTATATTATTCTTTCACCTCACTCTAAACTCTAATCTCTCACCATCATACTAAAAACTTCTCATTCTCAATCCTTTAATTATATATTATTATTAGCAAACTTTTAAGTATATCGCTCTAGAGTAATGACAGTTAAATGTATTTTTGATAATTTTGTAAAAGAACTCAAGGATCTCAAATCAACTATCTTGTGAATGATAAAAAAAAAACAGTCCACAGCCCATTATACACGCACGCACGCGCGCGCACACACATTTCAAGTCTTAGGCATCTTCCTAATTAAACTGGCTTAGTTGGACGTATATAATCACACACAAAAAATCACCACTAATCTAAAACCCAAACCATCACAATTAAATAAAAAATAAAATCAATCTCACTACATCTACTATCTCTTCCTCCCTCCACCTCTGGCAAAATTCAAAATTCTTCAAAATCTAAATATGCAACACTAACGTCCCTTCTTCCACGGATGCTCCATTTTTTCAAACCAACACAAAATTGCCTGGCGGGCCAGTATGCGAAATAACCATCGTGTCGGAAAGCGCACGTAAAATCTCCAAATAACATCAACATCATCATCATCCTCATCGTCATCATCATCGCTCTCTTAGTACAGTGTGTGCCTACATTCAGGATCGGAGGAGATTATTTTTTATAGTCCCACGAAAGCAACTTGTGTATTTGCAGAAAGTTCGCTTTTCAGCTGGAAGACATAGATAGGGAAAAGGTGTCTGTGGGAATAGTCCACAATGTATACGTTGTAAAGTTTTAAGGAAGAGACTTATTTTATTTATGTCAACGTCTTTATTATATGGAACACAACATTTCGGGGTATATACTTAATGCTTCATAGACCAGATTTGATTTGATTTGTTTGTTGTTTAACGCCGCACTCAGCAACATTGCAGCTTTATGACGGCGGTCTGTAAATAATCCAGTCTGGACCAGACAATCCAGTGACTTGACATCATGAGCATCGATCCACGCAATTGGGATAAGATGACATACATCAGCCAAGTCAGCGAGCCTGACCACCCGATCCCGTTAGACGTAGACATAATGGCAATACTGAGTTAGTGAGTATTGTTTTCACGCCACTTTTAGCAATATTCCAGCAATTTCACGGCGAGGGACACGAGAAATGGGTTTCACTCATTGTACCCATGTCGGGAATCGAACCCGGGTCTTCGGCGTGACGAGGGAACACTTTAACCACTAGGCTACCAGATCGCCCCTCATGGCAATACTGATTGTCCTGTCACAAGACGCGTACGTCCACGAGGGGGCGTTCCGGCCAGTACCTGGTGTGACCAGCGTGTGCTGTTATCACTTCTCTACACCTCCTTGGCTTGGCACGGACTGAATAAGTCGACGGATTGTGTCCTGTAGAATTCTTCTCCATTCTCCCTGCAACACTTTGGCCAGTCGTGAAAGTGTCTGCGGCGTAAGCTGACGTTGACGTACACGTCTATCGAGTTCATCTCACAGATCGTCACGGACGGTGTTTTCTTTGGGTTTCAGATTAAATCAACCACATGTTGCTTCATGCGAGATTTCTGTACGGTAACCTCTTCTCATTCGACTGATTGGAAAACAACCAGCGTGTGCCTTACACTATTTACATGCCTTATTTACACACCTTAGTTAATTATCACGTGTACGCATGGTATATTTACATATACACACGTATGTATAGTCCATGTGCAATATCACGGACGTGAGTAAATGGTGTGCATGTGAGCGGGGATAGTAGATGATGTATTGGTTTACGTAGTTAGATGTTTACACTGAATTTGGTATCTGAGTACATGGTCTATGAGACTATGCTGGTATTACATATTTTCATTATTGCAGGGCTAAATTGCTGATAGATTGGGGTTACACGCAGTTTGCATCCAACTGTGAGAAACAGGCTAATGTGAAACACTCAAATGTATGCATGTATAGGAGTTTACATTGACACAATGAGCTGCATACACGGAGAAGACAATTGTGTAGGAACTAATGCTGATGTATTTTGGTCTACTTTGATATGACAAAATATTCCCGTGTCCTGTTCTCCTAACTTCAAAACGTCAATTTAAGTCTTCGATGTCAATGTTTTCTGTCCTACCAATTTCTAAATATCAATTTAGGACTTCGAGATATCCATGTTTCCTGTTTTCCCAACTTCTAAATATCAATTATAGACTTAAAGATATCCACGCTTCCTGTTCTACCAACTCTTGAATATCAATTAAAGACTTCGAGATTCATGTACTGTCCTACCAACTTGTAAATGTCGATTAAAGACTTCGAGATATCCATGTTTCCTTTTCTACCAAATTCTAGGTATCAATTTAAGATACGCACGGTCACAGTTGGTTCCAGTGTGGTGTGCGGGACAGGGCGAAGAACAGGTGCCGTTCTGGCGGTCGCAGGAACCGTTTCCAGGGCAACTAGGACATGACTGATCACAGTTTATGCCATACAAGCCAGTGAGACATTCTGCCAGACAAGAAAATAGCTGTTAGGTATTGGTTAAAACATGTCTTCACATTTACCTTGCTATTTCGGATATTGATAATATTTGATCCAAATGCACCGGAAAGTCTGCAGGCGTCTCTGGCAACCTACCACTGCAGTCCTTGGCGACAAAGCCAGCCGCACAGGATCCTGGACATGCTCCGGTCACGTGATCACAGACGGCGTTGTTCGCACACTTGCCGCAGCTGTAGGAACAGTTGAGTCCATGAGTGGAGCGGGGACACGCTGGGGAGAGAGGAGTGTCGAGATGAGACTAGAGCTTCTCTAATATTGAACCATATACGAGGGTAGCTCCCTTAACAGTTTGCTTGTATTTGGTACAATATACTCCCTGCTTAGGGAGCAACCATTTGATATTCTGAGGATGGGTGGGACTTTATCGAAAAAAAGTAATTCGTCAGCAAATAATCAAGAAAAGACTGTTTGAGAAAATGGAAATGCCTGCTACAAAAATAATGTTTTTGCAAGGCGTTTTTCCTAAAAGCAAATTCAAATTCATAGTTAAAACTACAAAAAATGTCTGGTTTTGCCGCGGTAGCTGAAAACATATCTAATCTCCTAACCAATCTTTCGCAGAATCATCAACGCATTAAATCACAGTTACGCTTAGGATTGACCAGCCTTCCCTCGTATCCTGTCACTCTGCCCCGCCACATTGTCGCTCTCACCCGCCACCTTGTTGCTCTCTCCCCGTCACCTTGTCACTCCCCCCCCCCCCCCCCCCCCCCCCCACCCCACATTGTTGCTCTCCCCCGTTACCTTGTCCCTCTCACCCATCACCTTGTCCCTCTCACCCATCACCTTGTCACTCTCCCCCGTCACCTTGTCACTCTCCCCCGTCACCTTGTCACTCTCTCTCGTCACCTTGTCACTCTCTCTCGTCACCTTGTCACTCTCCCCCGTCAACTTGTCACTCTCACCCGTCACCTTGTCACTCTCACCCGTCACCTTGTCACTCTCACCCGTCACCTTGTCACTCTCACCCGTCACCTTGTCACTCTCCCTCGTCACCTTGTCACTCTCTCTCGTCACCTTGTCACTCTCCCCCGTCAACTTGTCACTCTCCCCCGCCACCTTGTCACTCTCCCTCGCCACCTTGTCACTCTCCCTCGTCACCTTGTCACTCTCCCCGTCACCTTGTCACTCTCCCTCGTCACCTTGTCACTCTCCCTCGTCACCTTGTCACTCTCCCTCGTCACCTTCCCTCGTCACCCGACACCTTGTCCCTCTCACCCAACACCTTGTCCCTCTCACCCAACACCTTGTCCCTCTCACCCAACACCTTGTCACTCTCCCCCGTCACCTTGTCACTCTCCCCGTCACCTTGTCACTCTCCCTCGCCACCTTGTCACTCTCCCTCGTCACCTTGTCACTCTCCCCCGTCACCTTGTCACTCTCCCCCGCCACCTTGTCACTCTCCATCGTCACCTTGTCACTCTCCCTCGTCACCTTTTCACTCTCCCTCGTCACCTTGTCACCCTCCCTCGTCACCTTGTCACTCTCCCTCGTCACCTTGTCCCTCTCACCCATCACCTTGTCACTCTCCCCCGCCACCTTGTCGCTTTCCCCCGACCCCTTGTCGCTCTCCCCCGCCACCCCAATCACCCGGCGCTACAGCCACTTCGAGGACACTCCCTCGTCATCTTGTCACACTCACCTGACAGCCTGGCCCCATCCACCCGGCGCTACAGCCACTTCGAGGACACTCCCCCGTCATCTTGTCACACTCACCTGACTGACAGCCTGACCCCATCCACCCGGCGCTACAGCCACTTCGAGGACACTCCCCTGTCATCTTGTCACAGATCTCCGACGTGTTTTGACATCTGCACAGCCGGCTACAGTTACTGCCGAACCAGAAGTCATCACACTCTGCAACGATTCAACCATGCATAGGTTGTAGCCAGTACCTGTGTTCTGTAAGCCTTACAGCCTTCACTGCCTCTCTTCCGATCTTTCATTTTTAATCCACAACACAGACCCTCCAGCAAGTCCAGTGATCAAGTTTATTTGAAAATATGATCTACGGACAATTTCTTTTTCAACAATTTTTTTAATAAATCCCGCAAACCATTTCCAAGTCCATTTCCATGCACGCGCGTATTGGATATATAGACGATGACGTCAAACTTTGTAAGGAACTTAGAAACCTATTATGTGGGTATCGCCATTATGAAAAGATGTGTTTTCTGCCAATGGTAAAACCTGGGAAGAGGTTTTACATTTTTACCAAAACCCCGGGATGAGGTTTTTGTAAATTTAGTAAAACCTCATCCCAGGGTCTTTGTAAAAAGGTAAGACCTCCATACCAGGTCTCGCCACTGAAAAAAATACATTCCCGATACACACTGATTTTTCATCACAGGGTCTTACTTAAAGGCACATACCCGGACTTCTGCTCAAAGACAACAGAAAACAACAGCCAGTAACATCCTTTAATGAAAGTTAAATGTAAAGTAGAGAGACCCTTTTGGGGATAGACCTTCCAGACGTGCCTCAGTCGTTGAGTCTACAGAGGTACCTGACGAAGTACCTGCAGAAGTAGCTGTCTCAGTTGCGGAAGTAGTTGTCTCAGTCACTGAAGTTGGTGTCGCACAAGACACTGTCTCCGCCTTTTTAGGAATCTTCCTTCCGATAATGTCTGAAGCCTTGGACTTTAGATCGTCGCTTGTGCGTTTGTAGATGCGGACAGCACTACTCCGGTGCCCTAAAAAATATTTGTTATAGTTAATTACAACAAAGTATACAACCGTATGTTCTAAACATCTATAAAGCATTAAGCCACTTTAGAAAATATGGCTACATCAAAATACATTTTTATAGTAAAAATTAACCATTTCTATACGCTTGTTAAGGGTGTTTCATTTTATTCACAGATAATATTCGAAACAGTGATAATCATAAAATATTGGTAAAGGACTGTCCTATACATTGAACTAAACTTACCAGTTTGTTCGCAAATCTGCTGCTCGCTTACTTCCGCCACCTTCTAAATACGCCAACGGCCCAGTCGTTCTTGTATTCGGTCTTTTGGGGAACACATACGTCCAGTTTCTTCTGAAGTTCTTCTTCAGACAATGGAGATGCAAAACGAAAGTGAAAATCATCTGCGTCTTCACTGACATCCTTAGTTTCCACAAACTTACTTTGAGTTAGAAATAGGTCCCCGCCTTCCTCCTCGCTCGACATCTCAAACTCAACTGAGAAAGACAACCACGTGTTCTAACCGCATGTATCGCACGTGCACGGCTCGGGTTCTTTCTATATGCTTTTCCTGGCAATAGCGAGGTAGTAAATCCCCGTTATAGTGCCCTAAATGGGATACAATTAAATTTGCAGTAATTCTAAACGTTTAACGGTTTCTAAGCCGGATAAAACACTCCTCCTCCGAGGGTTTACATTCTCTACCAAAACCTCTGAGCCGTGTTTTCTCCATAACATAATCTCCCTATAAACCTCATCACCACCAGCACGTGGGTAACGGTAACCAGTGCTCTTTGGTACGTCAGCTTATATTGACATTTACTCATACACTACCGGATTGTTTTTACGTATGGAACAATTTGACCAGTCACCGCTGAGATTTCCCTCGCTACACGCACTCGATTGTGAAAACGTTATGTTGACATATGATAGTCAGACTGCAACATATAGGACTTTTAACGAGTCACAGTATGGCATTTATGATAAATGTATCCATTCTCTGGCAACTAAGGTTCGTTTCAAGGCGTCGATAGCAGTAATCTGACCGTGGTTGCTGGAAATAACGGCGAGTCGGTGCAGGATTTCTCCGACATTAATTTAAACAATATTGATTTGAATTTTTAATAAAATAAAAATATTTTACAATCATCAGTCCAGATTTAATTACAATGAATAGTTTTTATAACCAAATAATGAAATGGTGGGATTAAATTGTGTAATTCAGTTCAGATTTTTTTACTGGTACTTCCGGTCTCAGGAACTCTCGGCAACCAACCGGTAATGTCTTTGCGTTGAGGGAACGTCAATATACAACTTAGAAATTATTAAAAATGTACGTAAATGTCATGTAATTGCTTAGGTTGAAACATTTCAGTGATATTTTTGTGAAGCAAACAAGCATTACATCGATATATCGTGACAATGCCGCTAAAAGCCTAATGTCAGGTTGACAGTACCATTATGGGTCTTTGGGAAAAAAGACACAAGTAACGCTACAGCATGGCTTGTATTACATATTCCATTTTGCATATCTCGCTGTGATAAAGAACCGACGAGTTCAAGCGAAAAACACTCTATTTAATTTATTTTTTCGGAAATATAGTGACCGCGAATAACGAATTCATTCATTGGGTCCTTGGTTGGTTAGAATCTTTTTAGTGCAATATGCTCTCAGCTTATCGGCGGGATAAAAAAATAGAGGCAAATTCTGGAGAGAAAAAAATCCATTTCAACCAAATTTACTTTCGGTGGATATGTAAAGAAAGTAAAAAGAGTCTGGCCTAACTAATTTTGATTGATTAAACGCGATACACTCTTCCAAGAGTGAGTGAGTGAGTATGGTTTTACGCCTCTGTTAGCAATATTCCAGCAATATCACGGCGGGGACACCAGAAAAGGGCTTCACACATTGTACCCATGTTGGGAATCGAACCCGGGCTTTTGCCTTGACGAGCGAACGCTTTAACCACTCAGGTACGCTACGTCCACTCCAAGAAAGGGAGAGTGATGTTTAGTTCCGTGACAAAGTATCTCAAATGATTTGTTATCTGCAAGGTCGGCCTTGACATTTAATTAACTGTAGGCGTATGATATACTTCATTGCAGTTGTTTTCTCGGTGTCTTCACCGCGTCACGTTTTGATTTATTGCGGTCGAAAGGAAATTGTTATCGTTGACGTAGTTAATAATTGTATAGTGTAAGATTTCTCCTCACCATAAATCTCGACTTCGCAGAGAGCGAGGGTTCTGTCTGTCGGGGAGCCAGTCACCCCCGGGCTTGTCGGGAGAGGGGGCAAATTGATGGACACGAACACGCCCATCAGAGGCTGGCGGCAATTGATGTTGGCGACGTCGGTGAGAGAGGTGTTGGTGACGTAGCACACGGCGCCGTCCACTGTCACTTGTAACCCCGTGGTGGGGTATATATCTGCAAGCGCATGAGAAACCCCAGAACGACGTTTTATCAAGCTCGCCGTACATTTGTAAGACACATAGTAATATCGGTATAGAGGCTCTGTGTTCCACCGTCTCGAGACAATGACAGTTTGTAGTGTGGGTGAAAGTGATTTTCCGCGTCCTTAAGATAATCGTTATTTGCTAGAGTGAGTGAGTATGGTTTTACGCCGCTTTTAGCAATTTTCCAGCAATATCACGGCGGGGGACACCAAAAATGGTCTTCACACATTGTACCCATGTGGGAAATCGAACCCGTGTCTTCGGCGTAAAGAGCGAACGCTTTAACCACTAGGCGACCCAGCCGCCCCTAATACAATTTGCGTTTGCAGACAAGTGAAATGTGTTTCAACAACTTGCGTTAGGTTACTTAGACGTGTCAGTTTGGCCGGTTGAGATACTGGTACCCCTTCAGATCGCTCGAATATAGGCAGTCCAAGAGGTATTGAGAGCTGAATAATATCATTGGGATCTCTTAAAGCATACTATTGTATTCACGTGTCTGAAATAGACGGACCGGCAAAAGAAAGCATACCGAGTTTTTTATATATTAAAGAGAGAATTTTGAAAGAACTCTGAATTTAACCATCACTCTTTCCTGCTACAGTTTGTAAAATGTATTCGGTGGCTTGGTAATTTTGTGTATTGGTTCAATGAAGACTGAGGTTAGAAATGAATCTGCAACCATGTTGGAAATGTTGGAAATGTTGGAAATGTTTGCCGAAAAAGCAAATTTATTAATTTTCAGAGATAAGATGTCTCATCAGTTATATAAAATAATTTTTCCTAATTTCCAAGAAAATGAAACCAAATCAATTTTTTTTTAAAATAAAAACGTGCAGAAGTATTCTTTGAGTGCTGATTAAGCCCAGTAGTTTTAGCAACATTCCAACAATATCACGACGGGGGACACCAGAAATGGACTTCACACATTGTACCCATGTGGGGAATCGAACCCGTGTCTTCGACGTGACGAGCCAATGCTTTAACCACAAGGCTACCCCTCGCCCATTTTACTTACTTGAAGCCACTTCGGGAATGATCACAAAAGGTGAATTATGTCGAAGTTATCACTAATACTTCACACTTAATTCCATTATTATATAATGTGAAGGAACCTTTTTGAGGAAAATATATCTTCATCCTGTAGATCTGATGCAGACTCCCCAAATTAAGGCTCCAGGAAGTGATGGTTCGCCCAAGTGCAGTCTGGGAACAGGATCCGTGCCGGAAGTTTTGATCAGTGCTGCCATCTACCGCCAGTGTCGCCGGCCTGGGGCCGCAGTAGACGGTTGAGGACGTCGAGCAGTTGTCGGCGTCGCTCCATGTGCCGTCCTGGTAGGCGGACTGATGCAAGGCCATGTTGTCTAGACAGGGTAGACACAAGCACACGTTTTGTCATACCATGTTCAGAGAGCGGAAGGTCCGGGGTTCGAACCCCGGCCGCGTCATACCAAAAGACGTTAAAATATGGTACTTGTTGTTACCCTGTCTGGCGCTCGGCATTAAGGGGTTAAAGCAAGTACTGGTCGGCTCGGAGTCAGTATACTGTGTCTGAGTGGGGTATTCATGTTAAACTGCGGCATGGTATCTCAGTGGGCTAGCACTATAAATCGGCATCAGTCCGGACAAGTACAAGCAGCCACACACACACACACGTGCATGCACGTCGCTATATAAGTGCAATAATCTTGGACGCGACGTTAAACCCAATTTCACCTCACCTCACCTCATACCATGTTCACGAGTGAGTGTGTGAGTTCTACTCGCCGCTTCTACCAATATTCAAACCGTATCTCGGTCCAACAAAATCATGTAAACGCCTTTGGTTCAACTCCTTTAACATTAAAGCGACAAAAATAGTTGACTAAATGCAGAGTTCATTGTACGATTCCAACTGTATCATAAGCATGTGTTTATGTTTGTTTGTTTGTTTGTTTGTTTGTTTGTTTGTTGCTATACTAACGGACTCGCTCAGCGGACCCCAAGCAATCAAGAAAAAAATACCAAAAAAACCCCGACAATTACACTATTAAACTAAATATTGAAAAGCACACAACAATTAAATAAACTGGCAAACAAGTAGAGTTTCATCGGATCCCTGTTGGTTTGTTTGTTTGCTTGTTGTTTAACGCCGCACTTAGCAATATTCAAGCTATGTGATGGCGGTCTGTAAAAATAAACGAGTTTGGGCCAGACAATCCAGTTATTGATATCATGAGCATCGACCCACGCAATTGGGATAAGATGATATGCATCAGCCAAGTCAGCGAGTCGAACTAACTGATCCCGTAAGTCGTCTCTTACAACAAGCATAGTCACCTTTTACGGCAAGCATGGGTTGCTGAAGACCTATTCTAACAAGCTCTTCACGGGTGAGCATGACATTGTGTTTATAAATCACTATCGAAATTCATAGTGCCAGGTATCCTCACCGAACGGTATCCTGGAACGCATGTTGGTGCCCCTATTGTTAAACAGTTAATCGCGTTGCTAGGCCTCTACATACCAATTCTAAAGCTGTCGTTGTCTGATGGAACATTTAGCTACTTACGGTCCTGGCAGCTCGCGCCGGTCCAGGCTGCGGCACACTGACTTGCGCATGCGCCCGAGGTTTTATCGCATGCCTCGAGGGTATGATTACAGTGACATTTGTACTGACACTTGCTGCCGAACCAGAAATCACTGCACCCTGAAATACAACGGAAGAAGCCAATGACTACTTCAGTTTGTAAATCAATATATAAGATAGCTATGAGATGAATCGCAAAGAACAATGAAGAACGAAGCGTGGTTTATTTCACGATAAAACTGTGTCCCATCATGACGTCATTTCTGGAGATTCGAGCATGCGCTCGCAACTTGATGACGTCGTAAATTGGTCGACGTTAGTTTTGAGAGGGAAGTGTCTTGTGAGTTGTTCCCCATAGGTCTAGCTGGGGAATGCAGATAAACGCAGTGGCCGAACGATCGCATTCAAAAGTGGGGGAGATATGACAATCGGTATTAGGAGAAAGGATACAAGTAATCGACGTCAGGATGGTGAGAGTATGCGGGAAACACCCACCTGTGCATAAAATAGACTTGTCTGACATTGCCGAGGTTGGATTCCATTGGGGGAGTCATCATTATTTAAATACGGGAAAATATTTTAAACGTTTGTACATTTTATCATCATCCTTAAAGCGGCTGTTCAAAATAGTTAATTCTCCCTGCAGTGTTTTATTGTACGATAAACAACTCCCACTCGTCGTTTATTTCTTATATATGCTACTCAAAGGAATTAAAAGAACTCCGGATTTTTTCACATGACTGGTGGGTATTGAAACACACAGTCTGTTCTTTACTTATTTTGAGTGGTATACATCCTTAAAGCGGCTGTTCAAAATAGTTAATTCTCCCTGCAGTGTTTTATTGTACGATAAACAACTCCCACTCGTCGTTTATTTCTTATATATGCTACTCAAAGGAATTAAAAGAACTCCGGATTTTTTCACATGACTGGTGGGTATTGAAACACACAGTCTGTTCTTTACTTATTTTGAGTGGTATACATTTATTAATGGCGACCAGCGCGTCGCAAGTGGTTTCATGTCGGGTACGGATATTCTATATATCGTCTAATACTCACGGAATATTTTGACTTCGCACAACGTCAGGGACGGAGCAGTGTCGACAGGAGACGTTCGCAACGTCAGCGTGGAGCCCGACAACGTCTGATGACACATGACATTAATGATCGTGCTGCTGATGTCGCTCCCAGTGACGTTGTAACATTCCTGTCCGTCCACAAACACCTCGATATAAGGCGGCACCAGAGGAGCTGGAAGAGATGAAGTAGTGAGTGAGTGGGTGAGTGAGTTGGGTTTAATGTCGCTTTTAACAGTATTCCAGTTACATCAAGGCGTGTCAGCTTGATGTGGGAGGAAAGCCGTTTACCCTTTCAATGAAACCCACATGCACAGGTATGGGGCTGAACCTAGAAACATAATCAGGGCGAACCGGGATTCGAACCCACAATCATAGGTTTCTGGCGTGCCCAAGGGACGCAACTCTGGATAGTTAGACGACTGCCCCCAGAAATGAAGTATGACAGTGGATCAGCAACATGTGCGCCCTCCACAACACAGCCATCTACAGTATCCATCTGATAGTTAGGTCTGACTACAAGCTAGCCGCGTGAAGATCCGGGTTAGAATAGTTATTCAGCAACCCACGCTTGTCGCAGGTGGCGACTAACGGGATCGGATGGTCAGGCTCGCTCACGTGGTTGATGCATGTCATCGTGTCCCTGTTGCGAGGATCGATGACCATGATATCAATCACTGGATTGTTTGGTCCAGATTATTTACAGACCGTCATCATATAGCTGGATAGCTGAGTGCGGCGTTGAACAACAAACAAACATACAAACAAACAAGCTAGCCAACAGAGACGGTCGGCGTCGTTGAAAATATTGAAAATTAGATATAGCATGCAGACACCATCGGTATTCTTCCTGGCGGTAACAGATGGACCTTGAGGTCATGGACATGACCACCGTCGTCGTTAGGGACGTGACCACCGTCGTCGTTAGGGACATGACCTCAGTCGTGGTTAGGGACATGACCACCATCGTCGTTAGGGACATGACCTCAGTCGTTGTTAGGGACATGACCTCAGTCGTTGTTAGGGACATGACCTCAGTCGTTATAAAGGACATGACAACAGTCGTTGTTAGGGACATGACCTCAGTCGTTGTTAGCTACATGACCTCAGCCGTTGTTAGGGACATGATGGCAGTAGTTAGTGACACGACCTCAGTCGTTAGGGACATGACCTCAGTCGTTGTTAGGGACATGACCTCAGCCGTTGTTAGGGACATGACCTTAGTCGTGGTTAGGGACATGACCTCAGTCGTGGTTAGGGACATGGCCACAGTGATCTATCTGCAGATCACTGTGTCATACATACCATGGTTAGCTTAATATATCTACATCCAGCTGGCGTCATACATACCATGGTTAGCTTGATATATCTACATCCAGCTTGCGTCATACATACCATGGTTAGCTTGATATATCTACATCCAGCTGGCGTCATACATACCATGGTTAGCTTGATATATCTACATCCAGCTTGCGTCATACATACCATGGTTAGCTTGATATATCTACATCCAGCTGGCGTCATACATACCATGGTTAGCTTGATATATCTACATCCAGCTGGCGTCATACATACCATGGTTAGCTTGATATATCTACATCCAGCTTGCGTCATACATACCATGGTTAGCTTGATATATCTACATCCAGCTGGCGTCATACATACCATGGTTAGCTTGATATATCTACATCCAGCTGGCGTCATACATACCATGGTTAGCTTGATATATCTACTTCCAGCTGGCGTCATACATACCATGGTTAGCTTGATATATCTACATCCAGCTGGCGTCATACATACCATGGTTAGCTTGATATATCTACATCCAGCTGGCGCCATACATACCATGGTTAGCTTGATATATCTACATCCAGCTGGCGTCATACATACCATGGTTAGCTTGATATATCTACATCCAGCTTGCGTCATACATACCATGGTTAGCTTGATATATCTGCAGGTCGCTGTGTCATACACACCATGGTAACCTTGATATATATACATCCAGCTGGCGTCTTAATACCATGGTCAGCTTGATATATCTGCAGTTGGCTGTGTCCTACATACCATGGTTAGCTTGATATATCTGCAGTTGGCTGTGTCCTACATACCATGTTTAGCTTGATATATCTACATCCAGCTTGCGCCATACATACCATGGTTAGCTTGATATATCTACATCCAGCTGGCGTCATACATACCATGGTTAGCTTGATATATCTGCAGGTAGCTGTGCTATACATACCATGGTTAGCTTGATATATCTGCTACCATGGTTAGCTTGATATATCTGCAGTTGGCTTTGTCGGACATACCATGGTTAGCTTGATATATCTGCAGGTCGCTGTGTCTTACATACCATGGTTAGATTGATATATCTGCAGGCTGCTGATGTTATATGTGGCGCCGAGATCCAGTCTCCACCAAGCTGACTGATTACTTGTGTCCGTGACTGCGCATGATCCATGCCAGTAGTCTGTGTCGTCATTTCCGTCCACGGCGAGCTGCGCCCCATGCGCGCCGCAGAACGTCTGTACATCCGGGGTATCAGGGACACAGTCCGAGGTGTCGACGTACACCCCGCTCTGACTCGCCGACTTGTTGTAGGCTACGTTCTCTTTAAACACGGAGAAATAGTCAATTTAATTCCTGGAGCAAAATCACATTTCCATAGTCACCAATATCATACCTGTATCACATCGTAGTCATCAATATAACAGCTATATATCACACCTTAGTCATCAATATGACAGCTGTATATCACACCTTAGTCATCAATATGACAGCTTTATATCACACCTTAGTCATCAATATGACAGCTGTATATCACACCTTAGCCATCAATATAACAGCTGTATATCACACCTTAGTCATCAATATAACAGCTGTATATCACACCTTAGTCATCAATATGACAGCTATATATCACACCTTAGTCATCAGTATAACAGCTGTATATCACACCTTAGTCATCAATATAACAGCTGTGAATACCACAACGTATTCGCCTGAATTGTAGTTGTGTGTATTGAATATGTACATCACAACGAATGTGTTACAGATATGTATCACAGCTTGTGTATTGAAGGTAAATACCACAGCTTGTGTATTGCAGGTAAATATCACAGCTTGTGTATTGCAGGTTTATATCAAAGCTTGTGTATTGCAGGCATATATCACAGCTTGTGTATTGCAGGTATGTATCACAGCTTGTGTATTGCAGGTATATATCACAGCTTGTGTATTGCAGGTATATATTACAGCTTGTGTATTGCAGGTATATATCACAGCTTGTGTATTGCAGGTATATATCACAGCTTGTGTATTGCAGGTATATATTACAGCTTGTATATTGCAGGTATATATCACAGCTCGTGTATTGCAGGTATATATCACAGCTTGTATATTGCAGGTATATATCACAGCTGGTATATTGGAGGCATATATCACAGCTTGTGTATTGCAGGTTTATATCACAGCTTGTGTATTGCAGGTTTATATCACAGCTTGTGTATTACAGATATATATCATAGCGTGTGTATTGCAGGCATATATCACAGCTTGTGTATTGCAGGTATGTATCACAGCTTGTGTATTACAGGTATATATCACAGCTTGTGTATTGCAGGTATATATTACAGCTTGTGTATTGCAGGTATATATCACAGCTTGTGTATTGCAGGTATATATCACAGCTTGTGTATTGCAGGTATATATTACAGCTTGTGTATTGCAGGTATATATCACAGCTCGTGTATTGCAGGTATATATCACGGCTTGTGTATTGCAGGTATATATCACAGCTGGTATATTGGAGGCATATATCACAGCTTGTGTATTGCAGGTTTATATCACAGCTTGTGTATTGCAGGTTTATATCACAGCTTGTGTATTACAGATATATATCATAGCGTGTGTATTGCAGGCATATATCACAGCTCGTGTATTGCAGGTTTATATTACAGCTTATGTATTGCAGGTTTATATCACAGCTCGTGTATTGCAGGCATATATCGAAGCTTGTTATTGCAGGTATATATCACAGCTTGTGTGTTGCAGGTATATATCACAGGTTGTGTATTGCAGGTATATATCACAGCTTGTGTGTTGCAGGTATATATCACAGGTTGTGTATTGTAGGTAAATATCACAGCTTGTGTATTGCAGGTTTATACCACAGCTTGTGTATTGCAGGTAAATATCACAGCTTGTGTATTGCAGATATATATCACAGCTTGTGTATTGCAGGTATATATCACAGCTTGTGTATTGCAGGTATATATCACAGCTTGTGTATTGCAGGTATATATCACTGCTTGTGTATTGCAGGTATATATCACAGCTTGTTATTGCAGGTATATATCACAGCTTGTGTGTTGCAGGTAAATATCACAACGCATGTATTACAGATATATATCACAGCTTGTGTATTGCAGGTATATCGCTATATGTCTCCACCATTAGAGGTAGAAGGAGTGTTGGTACTCACGGCGCTGACAGAAGGGACCGTCCCACCCCGACTGACACCCGGATGAACACGGCGTCGGGGACGGGAAACACTCCTCATCAACGGCAGCACAGTGGCAGTCAAAGGTTCCTGGAACATGTGGGAGACTTCAGGGGGTCCTCGCTTATCTCAATTCATGTTGTTTAAGAATGATTTCAATATGTTTTTGGCGTTTATGGAGTTATAAACGTTTACTCCGGAGTGCACACTGTGTAAATCTGCTACTCGGTTTAAGCGAGTTTTACGTGTGGACACCGGCCGCGGCCAATTCCTATATATAAATACGTCAACAATAATAACTTCAGAGACAGATTTTTAGAAAACGTGGATAGCAATACGAAAATCAGTGACATCGTCCAGCGCAATAATGTAACACAAGCCCCGTCCATACCATAATTATTGAACCAGGAAACCGTAGTCTGTTAGGGGGCGTGGTCTACGACTTTTAGGTTTATGGAAACATGAACTAAAATCTGGGACCAAATAAAATCGATTTTGGGACGCAGATTAAACATTTTTTTAAATTAATTGTGCACGTAAATGTTTCCTAGATGTATCCTGTTTCTTCAGTAATTTAACTTGAGATTTGTGTAAAGTACTTTTTGGGATGCAGGGGTTTGCAAGTGAGACTCGCAGTGAAAGTGAGATAGTATTCGGGATGCTCCAGGGAATCCCACTGCTGCAGCACAGTTGGAGAGTTGCGTCCCTTGAATCTATCCCGGGTGAGTCGTGTGCAGACGTGTCCAAAGATCACAGATGCTATGTCTTGACTCTACCCGGGGTGGGAAGTGTACAGACGAGCCTAGAGACCTCAGATGGCTTGTCGTGACTCTACCCGGGGTGAGATGTGAACAGTAGTGTCTGGAGCACCCATATTGCTTGTCTTGACTCTACCCGGGTAGGGATGTGTACAGTGATGTCTAGAGCACCCGGGTGGCTTGTCTTGACTCTACCCGGGCTGAGTCGTGTACAGACGAGCCTAGATACCTCAGATGGCTTGTCGTGACTCTACCCGGGGTGGGAAGTGTATAGAAGTGTCTAGAGCACCAAGATGGCTTGTCTTGACTCTACCCGGGTAGGGATGTGTACAGTGATGTCTAGAGCACCCAGATGGCTTGTCTTGACTCTACCCGGGGTGGGATATGTACAGTGATGTCTAGAGCACCCAGATGGCTTGTCTTGACTCTACCCGGGGTGGGATGTGTACAGTGATGTCTAGTGCACCAAGATGGCTTGTCTTGACCCTACCCGGGGTGGGATGTGTACAGTGATGTCTGGTGCACCAAGATGGCTTGCCTTGACTCTACCTGGGGTGGGATATGTACAGTGATGACTAGAGCACCCACATGGCTTGTCTTGACCCTACCCGGGATGGGATGTGTACAGTGATGTCTAGTGCACCCAGATGGCTTCTCTTGACCCTACACGGGGTGGGATGTGTACAGTGATGTCTAATGCACCCAGATGGCTTCTCTTGACCCTACCTGGGGTGGGATGTGTACAGTGATGTCTAGTGCACCCATACTGCTTGTCTCGACTCTACCCGGGGTGGGATGTGTACAGTGATGTCTAGTGCACCCATACTGCTTGTCTCGACTCTACCCGGGGTGGGATGTGTACAGTGATGTCTAGTGCACCCATACTGCTTGTTTCGACTCTACCCGGGATGGGATGTGTACAGTGATGTCTAGCGCACCCATACTGCTTGTCTCGACTCTACCCGGGTGGGATGTGTACAGTGATGTCTAGTGCACCCATGCTGCTTGTTTCGACTCTACCCGGGGTGGGATGTGTACAGTGATGTCTAGTGCACCCATACTGCTTGTCTCGACTCTACCCGGGATGGGATGTGTACAGTGATGTCTAGCGCACCCATATTGCTTGTCTTGACTCTACCCGGGTAGGGATGTGTACAGTGATGTCTAGAGCACCCGGGTGGCTTGTCTTGACTCTACCCGGGCTGAGTCGTGTACAGACGAGCCTAGAGACCTCAGATGGCTTGTCGTGACTCTACCCGGGGTGGGAAGTGTATAGAAGTGTCTAGAGCACCAAGATGGCTTGTCTTGACTCTACCCGGGTAGGGATGTGTACAGTGATGTCTATAGCACCCAGATGGCTTGTCTTGACTCTACCCGGGGTGGGATATGTACAGTGATGTCTAGAGCACACAGATGGCTTATCTTGACTCTACCCGGGGTGGGATGTGTACAGTGATGTCTAGTGCACCAAGATGGCTTGTCTTGACCCTACCCGGGGTGGGATGTGTACAGTGATGTCTAGTGCACCCAGATGGCTTGTCTTGACTCTACCTGGGGTGGGATATGTACAGTGATGACTAGAGCACCCACATGGCTTGTCTTGACCCTACCCGGGATGGGATGTGTACAGTGATGTCTAGTGCACCCAGATGGCCTGTCTTGACCCTACACGGGGTGGGATGTGTACAGTGATGTCTAATGCACCCAGATGGCTTCTCTTGACCCTACCTGGGGTGGGATGTGTACAGTGATGTCTAGTGCACCCATACTGCTTGTCTCGACTCTACCCGGGGTGGGATGTGTACAGTGATGTCTAGTGCACCCATACTGCTTGTCTCGACTCTACCCGGGGTGGGATGTGTACAGTGATGTCTAGTGCACCCATACTGCTTGTTTCGACTCTACCCGGGATGGGATGTGTACAGTGATGTCTAGCGCACCCATACTGCTTGTCTCGACTCTACCCGGGTGGGATGTGTACAGTGATGTCTAGTGCACCCATGCTGCTTGTTTCGACTCTACCCGGGGTGGGATGTGTACAGTGATGTCTAGTGCACCCATACTGCTTGTCTCGACTCTACCCGGGATGGGATGTGTACAGTGATGTCTAGTGCACCCATACTGCTTGTCTCGACTCTATGCGGGTTGATTCGTGTACAGGCGTCTCTAGAGACCCCAGATGGCTTGTCTTGAATCTACCCGGACACTCTACCCGGTAGTGTCTAGAGCACCCATATTGCTTGTCTTGACTCTATCCGGGTGGGATATGTACAGTGATGTCTAGTGCACCCAGATGGCTTGTCTTGACCCTACCCGGGATGGGATGTGTACAGTGATGTCTAGTGCACCCAGATGGCTTCTCTTGACCCTACCCGGGCTGGGATGTGTACAGTGATGTCTCGACACCCCTGTGGCTTGTCTTGGCCCTACCCGGGTTTGGATGTGTACAGTGATGTCTCGAACACGCCTGTGGCCTGTCTTGGTCCTACCCGGGGTGGAATGTGTACAGTGTTGTCTCGAACACCCCCGTGGCCTGTCTTGGCCCTACCCGGGTTTGGATGTGTACAGTGATGTCTCGACACCCCTGTGGCTTGTCTTGGCCCTACCCGGGTTTGGATGTGTACAGTGATGTCTCGAACACGCCTGTGGCCTGTCTTGGTCCTACCCGGGTTTGGATGTGTACAGTGATGTCTCGAACACCCCTGTGGCCTGTCTTGGCCCTACCCGGGGTGGGATGTGTACAGTGATGTCTCGAACACCCCTGTGGCCTGTCTTGGCCCTACCCGGGGTGGGATGTGTACAGTGATGTCTAGAACACGCCTGTGGCCTGTCTTGGCCCTACCCGGGGTGGAATGTGTACAGTGTTGTCTCGAACACCCCCGTGGCCTGTCTTGGCCCTACCCGGGTTTGGATGTGTACAGTGATGTCTAGAACACGCCTGTGGCCTGTCTTGGTCCTACCCGGGGTGGAATGTGTACAGTGTTGTCTCGAACACCCCTGTGGCCTGTCTTGGCCCTACCCGGGTTTGGATGTGTACAGTGATGTCTCGAACACCCCTGTGGCCTGTCTTGGCCCTACCCGGGGTGGGACGTGTACAGTGATGTCTCGAACACCCCTGTGGCCTGTCTTGGCCCTACCCGGGGTGGGATGTGTACAGTGATGTCTCGAACACCCCCGTGGCCTGTCTTCGCCCTACCCGGGGTGGAATGTGTACAGTGTTGTCTCGAACACCCCTGTGGCCTGTCTTGGCCCTACCCGGGGTGGGACGTGTACAGTGATGTCTCGAACACCCCTGTGGCCTGTCTTCGCCCTACCCGGGGTGGGATGTGTACAGTGATGTCTCGAACACGGCTGTGGCCTGTCTTGGTCCTACCCGGGGTGGAATGTGTACAGTTTTGTCTAGAACACCCCTGTGGCCTGTCTTGGCCCTACCCGGGTTTGGATGTGTACAGTGATGTCTCGACAACCCTTTGGCCTGTCTTGGCCCTACCCGGGTTTGGATGTGTACAGTGATGTCTCGACACCACTGTGGCTTGTCTTGGCCCTACCCGGGTTTGGATGTGTACAGTGATGTCTCGAACACCCCTGTGGCTTGTCTTGGTCCTACCCGGGCTGGGACGTGTACAGTGATGTCTAGAACACCCCTGTGGCCTGTCTTGGCCCTACCCGGGGTGGCCATGGGACGTACACAGTGATACGAAGACTTACCCTGACTTTGTCCGAGGCTGGGTGTGAAGGCGATGACAACTAATAGGTAGAGAGTATGTGACTTCATTCCCTGGACTTGGCCACTGTGGCGTAGCTGCGTGTATGTGTGATAACAGATGTTTACAACAGGGAGATAACACGGATATACCCCAACAGCTGATAACGCCCTGACACTGCACTGATGTGTCCTGATATGCCCTGATAATGCCTTGTGTGCAGTAGAAATAGGCTCAACGTTCGTAAACGTGCTGAGTTGTAACTGTGTGCAAACAACCACCTCTGTGAAAGAGTAATCATCAGTTATTAAGATGTTCACGTGTAATTTAAGTTAAGTTAAGTTAAGTGTCCCTCTAGATGTCACATGATACACCAACAGGTACATCCCTAGGAATACCATGCTTGGATACACGCCTAGTGGTGGTGGTAGAATAGTACTATTGGTAGTAGTAGTAGTGGTGGTATTTGTAGTGGTAGTAGTGGTAGTGGTAGTGGTAGGGGTATTGGCGGTGGTAGTGGTAGTAGGAGTATTAGTGGTGGTAGAAGTAGTAGTAGTAGTAGTAGTAGTAGTAGTAGTAGTAGTAGAAGTAGTAGTAGTAGTAGTAGTAGTAGTAGTAGTAGTAGTAGTAGTAGCAGTAGTAATAGTAGTAGTGTTTCTCTCATCTCGTGACGGGGAAAATCACGTGTGAATCCCTCATAAAAAAAATCAGTAAAACTACGAAGTTGGCCTTTTGTTCATGTTATAAAGTAAAAGCGAAGTTACGGTCTCGCTAATTCTATTATAGGCATGGAAATTTAATATATATTAAGATAACTAAAGGGAACTTAAATTATTAAGTCATGAATTGTAATATGTATTTAGATAATTAAAGGGAAGTAAAATTATTAAGTCATGAATTGTAATATGTATTTAGAATATTAAAGGGAAGTAAAATTATTAAGTCATGAATTGTAATATGTATTTAGATAATTAAGGGAACTTAAATCATTAAGTCATGCATTGTAATATGTATTTAGATAATTAAAGGGAACTTACATTATTAAGTCATGAATTGTAATATGTATTTAGATAATTAAAGGGAACTTAAATTATTAAGTCATGCATTGTAAAATGTATTTAGATAATTAAAGGGAAGTTAAATTATTAAGTCATGAATTGTAATATGTATTTAGATAATTAAAGGGAAGTTAAATTATCAAGTCATGAATTGTAAAATGTATTTATATAATTTAAGGGAAGTTATATCAGTAGGTCAAAGAAATAAGAGGGAATATATATCAGATATTATGTCAAGAATTGGCAACATTCTTGAGTATGTATAATCCTTGAGGTGAGAGCAGCATTAGGCCACGAGGGCAAAGGGGTCTATCAGGTATCATGGTAAGGGTCATAAGGTTAGGTATAACATCAAAGCTACCTGAAACAGAGCAATAATAATAAGAGACCGACTAACAGATAAAGGATATATGGTATTAGGGAAGAGCGTTCATTATCCTGGAAATCGGGGAGTTCGTCTTACGAAAGACCTGATAAGGATTTTGGTAAAGAACTACGGGTAGGTTGGAATTGTCTATTAAAGGGGGAAGAGGTTGCCGACCAATGATAAACGAAAAAAAATGAGAACTGTTGTGACGTAAGAATCGGGTTTTAGGAGAAAGTCAGACCCCAAGTCGCAGGCTGGTGGGCGCCCGAACTTGCCTTACAGTGAGTGAGTTGGGTTAAACGCCGCTTTTAACAGTATTACAGTTATATCACGGCGTGTCAGCTTAATGTGGGAGGAAAGCCCGAAGTGATGCAGGCCTCAGACGTTTACCACTTCGGTGAAACCCACGAGCACGGTTATGGTGCTGACAAACCTAGAAACATAATCGGGGCGAACCGGGATTCGAACCCAAAATTTTAGGTTTCTGACGTGCGAAGGGGCGCAACGCGCCTTAGACGACTGGACCACCAGTGCTCCCTTGCCTTACTGTCACTAAACTCGTACTCGGAAACAATCTTTAGACACCAGCATTTTGACCGAGACTGACGTAATGCGGCCGAAGTCTCTTAATTGAGTGGGTTGACCGGCAACACAACGTTTGAATAAATGCTGTTAAAAGAAGAACTCCTTTTGTGATCGCTGGGTGAACTACGGTAATAAAGGTCCAAGGTCCCTCGGGTACTGACATTGTACCTCTCGCTAATCCCCAAGTTGTCAGGACCAGGTACGAGGGCTTACCGTAGTTCAGGTAAAGGTACTCAAAGTCGCCTTCCAATTACGATTAATTAACACACAAAAACACCTTGGACAATTGACCCCAAATTGCCATCGACCAGATCCCGCATCACACTTCGCAGTAACTTGCAACGTTGTGACACCGGAAAACTCTGATTCATCACTTCAGATGGCCCTTTTAATCAGTCAGATCAAACAATATCCCAATAATTTGATTAAGCATGGAACTTGTACTGAATGGGTTGGATGGGATGGGGGCACCAGGCGTTAACAGATCAGTGGATGTGGGGCGACCGCCATCACGGCTCGGGATCAATCAGCGTAATGGTCTGTGCCGACTTAATTAACCGATGTTAACGTTGAAACGTGTGTACGTTACATTGTCAAACAGACTTGATTGATGGGACAACATTTAGTTTAGCAAGGTGGCAAAGCGTTACGAAAACAGCAGTTCCAGAAGCAGCCACTCCCCCCCCAGCTGATGAAACGCACCATGTATTGTTACCTTGTGGCCGCCATTGCAGGACTGGTGACAGGTAAGTACATGCACGCTTCATGTCATAGAGGACCGCCAACCTGGTCTTATGGTAGAGCGGCCGCCCGGAGGTTCGATCCCCGGCCGCGTCATGACGACGTTAAAAGATGGTACTTGTTGCTTACCCTGTCGGGGTAAAACAATGACTTGTCGGCTCGGAGTAATTATACTGTGTCTGAGTTGGGTATTCGTGTTAAACAGCGGCATGGTATCTCAGTGGGCTGGCACTTTAAATTCGGCATTAGTCCGGACCAGTACGGCACACACACACACACACACACACACACACACACACACACACACGCACGCACGCACGCACGCACGCACGCACGCACGCACACACACGCACGCACACACACGCACGCACACACACACACACACACACGTCGCTATATAAGTGCAACAATCTTGGACGCGACGTTAAACACCATTTCATCTAACCTCATGTCATAGTTAAACCTCATCTATGTTAAACTGTTCACTGCTAAATTCCCAACCAAGTCGCCTATATGATCTCGTGTGCTACAAGGGGGGGCCATAAATCGCATTGCTGTCGAAGGTGAGGTGAGGTGAGGTGAGGTGAGGTGAGGTGAGGTGAGGTGAGGTAAAATGGGGTCTAAGTCACGTTCAAGATTATTTAGGTTAGTGAGTCATGTTTAACGCCGCTTTAACAGTATTCCAGTTCTATCACGGCGTTCAAGATTATTCATGCGACGTGCAGGAACGTGTGTGTGTGCGTCTGCTTGTATTTGACGGGCCTTTAGCCGGTGTTAAAGTGGTAGCCCACTGAGATACCAGTTAAACATAAATATCCCACTGAGACACAGTATAATGACGCCATGCTGGCCAGTCTCTTTATGCAGAGCATAATCAAGTATAACCTTATAACGTATTTTGGTGTGACGCGGCAAGGTGATCGAACACCGACCTTCCGCTCTCCGAGTAGACGCTATGTCCACTCGAATCGTACTCTATTTATTAATGTATGTACTTTCAGAATGAAATATGGAAACGCTACGATCCCTTACTATTTCCCTATTGTGCGTCTGTGCATGAAATATGTAAACGCTACGATCCCTTACTATTTCCCTAATGTGCGTCTATGTATGAAATATGGAAACGCTACGATCCCTTACTATTTCCCTATTGTCCGTCTATGTATGAAATATGGAAACGCTACGATCCCTTACTATTTCCCTATTGTGCGTCTGTGCATGAAATATGGAAACACTACGATCCCTTACTATTTCCCTAATGTGCGTCTGTGCATGATCACACATCACTGTCCACAGCCAAGCACTGTTTGCTCGAGAGTTAAACTATATTAGACTAACACATGCCTTGTCAGTTGCCAATGTTTACCAATCATTATGGGAGGACGTGGTTTGATTAACGTTGGGGCTCTTCATGATTGAATTGTTTTGTGCACTTTTGCACATATTAATTTGTCTGATGATCCTCTTGTGAAGCCTGGCAAGACTCGTGATGAAAACAAGGCATTCCACAGTTAACTTAAACGATCCAAGGGTGTGGGACATAATCTCAATACCAGTGTTGATTTTGTTGATGGTTCTGAACTGCTGGACGGTACAGAAATGAGTGTCAACCAAGCGAAGTGCCGCATTTTCCAAAGAGAGGCTATCTGAACGACCACTGCATCGAGTTTATGTGCTGTGTGTAAGGACAGGTCGGCTGGCTTGAAAGGTGAAACCGACGGCTTTCTGTTTGCTGCTCAGGACCAGTCACTTCGCACTCGAAACCGTCAATGTGTGATCTTGCATCAAAATGTAAATATGAAATGTAGATTATGTAATGAATTTAATGAGACTGTCCAACACATTGTCAGTGGATGCCCTGCTTTGGCACAAACACAGTATGTTAAGCGATATGGAGTGGCTCGATCATTTTATTACCGTCTTCGCCATGCTTATGGTTTTGACACAGAGGTCCATGCATGGTACGACCCAAGATATGTAGAGGGCGTCATGGAAAATGATAAATACAAAGATTCTGTGGAATAGGCCCGTATACAGCCTCAGACGTATCCAGGCCAACAAACCTGATCGTGTCCTTTTTGTTAAATCCAATGATATCATTTATATTGACAAGATTGAGGAAAACATGGCAAATATGCGGACCTCGCTTTCAAAATGTCACGCTTGCATCCCAAGCAACAAGTTGTCCGCCTCCCGGGTTTTGCTACCAGGAATACAGCCCTTCTGACAATCCTGATAATGCAGAAGGCTGCAGTGTTGGGGAGTCTTCACATTATGGTAATTGGATATTTTAGTTTGTGCAACAACAACAGTACTTACACGTTCATATTTAATATACCAATTACAGGTCAATCACCTCATTACGTTTATATTCAACACGATTTCTGAACTCTGTCGCCCGAACGTGTTGTTTATGCCGTCTGGATCATGTTACAGTAATTACATCCCACAATGCACTTCTAAACAGTCTGCGCATGCCCAGTAAGACGGACATGACGTCACAGTGTTTACCTTTATTAACCCTGCAGCCCCGCACGAGGCTACTTTCTACATTGTCGCAAGCCACTCAACTGCGTTAAATTTCATCTGCTTCGGTGCTAAATCACGAGTCCAGTCAAGCCATCCGATCTCAGGTTTTGCGATACTCAGCTAACCAAGATTAATAATGGCGGAGCGGAGACATAGACGAACCAGAAGTCAAAGCAATCGGGTTAATGTTCTCGACTCCGCACAGCCTGAAGAAAATCCGGATAGCCTCGAACCCCGCGCCATTGCTGCCAGTGCCAGTCGTACTACAGGGAGAATCAGCAGTCAACCGTATCTGACCGTGGCCCAGCTACGCAAACAACTGGCAGAGCGGGGCGTGAGGGTCCCAAATAATTGGCCTAGGAAAAGCTTGTTGCAGCTGTTCCAAGAAAACCAGCAACAACGGCCAGCAGCAGCAACGGTGACCTCGTCGGACAGTTATGACCCGAGTGCCATTTCGTCTCCGGCGGCCACACTCCCGGGGGTGGTCGAAGCCAGCATACAGCACAGGAACCCAGATGCCCTCGTTAGCGGGACCACGCTACCCTACAGTGTTGTTTCGGACTTCGGGGACGATGTTACCAATTCCGTGTCACCTGTTAGTGTTGCCAGTCTACAACGCGAACTTGCAGAGCTGAAACACATGATAGCCAACATGACCAGCCATAACGCAGTGACCACCGAGTACCCAGCTACAAGCCAACCGGATCAACTCAGCCATGACGTGCCGTCGGACTCGTTGCCCCACATCCACACAGTCGCGCCGGCGCTCAAGAAGAAGATTAAAGACGGCAAGTACTGTAACCTGGCATTGCTATTGATACCTAATCAAGACACGCTAGACGCTAGAATGGCCGAGTACGATGGCAATGTGTATCATTTAAAGGAGGATGCTAGGCTAAATCGCACTCTTACACTAGCAGAATTTATACAGGCCTTTGGCATTTACAAGGACATTCTGTGTGACATCAATAACGCCAAACGGAAACAATTGGATGGACACGAGCAAACTGTCATCGAACTGGCTACGTTGTATGGGGGCTCTGCGCACTACGACTACCACAAGTTATTTGCTGCCAGAGTGGCGTCCTACGCAGAACAAGGTTGCAGCATTCGCTGGGATATGAGGGACACACGTCTGTACGGGCTGTGTTCTTCGGGGCGCCGTTCCAGATCGTGTGCGATTTGCCACAGCATCACCCATGGTACAGACTTGTGTCCTGAGCGACATACTGATACAGCTAGGCCTACCCTGTTCTCGGACCGACGTGGCAGCTCCGACAGGATGGGGGCGACGGACAACAACGACACCAGGGGACGACCTAGAGTTAGGTCAAATGGAAGGGAGGTCTGCAATAATTTCAATCACCAGGGCTGTGTGAGAGTGAACTGTGCATACCTTCATGTATGTCTCAATTGTCATGCCCCAAACCACGGACAGGCAACTTGCGCCAAGGCTCCCAAATCGAGACGGGACAACCAAGCTTGACTAACTTTCCCGGATATAACCAGAGAGGAGGACGCAGGCACCTTAACAGTCCAACTCACTCCCATCAATGTTCAGGCTATACAGGCAGAACTCGACTCTCATCCCCATCCTCCATTTGCTACATATCTCGTCAACGGCTTGCAACATGGATTCGACCCCTTAATGTCGGAGGTTCCACAGTCAACAACGGAATGTAACAACAATCGTAGCGCTACATTGGATCCAATAGTTGTGACTAAGGCAGTGCAAACAGAAGTCGATAAAGGATACGTTATCGGACCTTTCCAGCGAGCTCCATACCCTGTGTACAGAATTAACCCCTTAGGAGTTGCCACGGGCAAGTACTCGGGCAAGAAGAGGCTAATCCTTGATCTGTCAGCCCCTCATAACTTGGAACATACCGCAAGTATTAATGACCTCATTAGTAAAGAATCTGCTTCACTCTCGTATGTGACCATAGACTATGCTATTTCAGTGATTAAGCAACTGGGACATGGTGCACAAATGTGTAAGGTGGACATCACCGACGCATTCAAACAGATCCCGCTGCACCCCAGGTACTGGCCGTTCTTTGGTTTCCGATGGGACGATAGGTACTACTTCTACACTAGATTGGCGTTCGGGTGCAGATCCAGTCCAAAGATTTTCGATACCCTATCACAAGCCGTGTGCTGGATATTGCAATACAACTACGGCGTTAAAAACATTCTGCATCTGTTAGATGATTTCCTGACTATCGATCCTCCCGGTTATGAAGCTAGCACAACTATGGACGCCATCTTAACCCTGTTCGACAAACTACAAATTCCACTCGCTGTGCACAAGACTGAAGGACCTGTAACTTGTTTAGAATACCTGGGCATCATCTTGGACTCAGTCTCGATGACAGCGAGGTTACCAGAGAACAAGTTGACAAGGATAGCGGATATGTTAACATCATTTTCTACTCGGACTAAGTGTACGAAAAGAGAGTTGCTGTCTTTGTTAGGGCATTTAAACTATGCTTGTCGAGTGGTAGTACCAGGCAGATCCTTCCTATTTTACCTGATTCGACTGTCGACCACTGTGGTCAAGTTGCATCATCATATCAGAATATCTAAGCAATGTCGGATAGAGATGCACATGTGGAAAAAAATTCTGAACCAGTGGAATGGCATCTCGTTTTTCCATGACGACCATATCACATCAGCTCCGGATCTCAATCTGTATACGGATGCAGCCGGAAGTGTAGGACACGGGGGATATTTCGATGGGGCATGGTTCGCCCAGGCGTGGCCGCAGGACGTTATAAACAGTCGAGACTCAGCACAATCAATTGCTTGGTTGGAACTTTATCCTATTGTGGTGTCAGCCATTCTCTGGGGACGACATTGGACACGGAAGAGAGTACTGTTTAATGTGACAATATAGCTACTTTCAGGAAATTCCGAGCCCTGGCGCCCCACGCAGACCTCCATCCAACGCCTTGCCCACCCAGCTCACAAGTGACGTGGACCTGAATCGTCACCTCGACACCCTGTGGTCAGCGGCGATCAGTCGACAAACAAGAACAGCATATTCTACAGGATTCCAGTGCTACCTAAAGTTCATGTTAAAGTTCAGTTTGTTCACCACACTGGGTGCCAGCAGCGGCCTGCCACCAGTTAACGATGCCTACCTTCAGTACTTCCTTGCACATTGCTTCGGCATCCTCAAACTCTCACATGACACCGTGAAGACCTATCTGGCGGGAATCAGATTTACGTACCTACAAGCGGGCATCAGGACACTGTTTGACGATGTCTCCACAGGTGCCCTAAATCGGATTCAAACTCTACTCAGAGGATACAAACGGGCCCACACACCAGAGCGGAGGAAGAGACTCCCCATCACTTACCATGTGCTACGTAACATCATCAAGCGGCTCAGGGATGGCGTGTTCGGTCCTTTCAACGATTTGGTAATGGAATGTATGTGTCTTGCAGCGTTCTTCGGATTCTTGAGATGCGGTGAACTCACATGTTCAGCCAACTTTGATCCCAGTAGGAACATAACTATGAGCGACATTAGTTTTGTACATCATAAAAGAACATGTGTTATAACCTTAAAAGTGTCTAAGACTGATCCCTTCCGACTAGGCGTTCGCATTGCCTTATTCGCTACTGACACTATGACATGTCCCTACTCGGCCTTGTCAAAACTGTATTCCATTAGAACGCAGTGCAGGGCTGCATACCAGGATCCGCTGTTCGTCAGTCGGGACTATCTACCAATATCCAGGACTGTGTTTTTGTCATGGTTAGATAGGGTCCTCACGTTGACTGGCTACAACTCTGCCGACTACTCCGGGCACTCATTCCGGATAGGAGCAGCTACCACGGCGGCCACCGTGCACATCGAGGATCACCTAATTAAGACTATGGGCAGGTGGACGTCGGACTGTTACGCCAAGTATATCAAGACGTCCGACTCCACCTTAGGGCAAGCCCACAAGGCTATGTGTCACCATCACTAAGTACCATATTCATGTTATTTACCTATATTAATTCTTTGGGGGCTCTCGGTTGCTAACCTCGTTTGGGCGTCATAAGCCACTCCATACTCAGAGCATGGAAGGCTTGTGGCCCCCAAAGAACTTACGCTATTTCGGTACTGTCCGGTCAGCACGACCAGTACTAGCTTACTCTAGGGATCGTCCGGGTCATCGGACCCCAGGACCGGCATATCCCTCTCACAGCTACACAGTCCGGGTCCATAAGACCCCAGGACGTTGTTATCTTACCCGGGTCTCCACGACCCCAGGGTGTCAACCCGGGTCACTTCGACCCCAGGGTCTCTTAGGCAACCGAGGCAGCCCCCATGTTGTGCCAAATGTTTATGTAAATGTTTATATAAATATCTGTATATAATAAAACTTCCTGCTATGTAATACATTTCATGTTGTTTGTGGCACAAAATGGTAATTGGATATTTTAGTTTGTGCAACAACAACAGTACTTACACGTTCATATTTAATATACCAATTACAGGTCAATCACCTCATTACGTTTATATTCAACACGATTTCTGAACTCTGTCGCCCGAACGTGTTGTTTATGCCGTCTGGATCATGTTACAGTAATTACATCCCACAATGCACTTCTAAACAGTCTGCGCATGCCCAGTAAGACGGACATGACGTCACAGTGTTTACCTTTATTAACCCTGCAGCCCCGCACGAGGCTACTTTCTACATTGTCGCAAGCCACTCAACTGCGTTACCCTCCAGCCACCCCTTAGCTCCTCCTGTCGTTCATGGCCTAATGTATTCACGAGCATCACGAACGTGGTTCTTTGTACATTCGCTAGTACTCATGTATTGGCGTCCATTCCACGGCTGTTTATCAGGCTACCTATATATATATATATATATATTGCGTAGATACCTTATCTCCTGGGGCTGCCTCGGGCGTCATAAGCCACTCCATACTCAGAGCATGGAAGGCTTGTGGCCCCCAAAGAACTTACGCTATTTCGGTACTGTCCGGTCAACACGACCAGTACTAGCTTACGTCATATCCCTCTCACAGCTACACAGTCCGGGTCCATAAGACCCCAGGACGTTGTTATCTTACCCGGGTCTCCACGACCCCAGGGTGTCAACCCGGGTCACTTCGACCCCAGGGTCTCTTAGGCAACCGAGGCAGCCCCCATGTTGTGCCAAATGTTTATGTAAATGTTTATATAAATATCTGTATATAATAAAACTTCCTGCTATGTAATACATTTCATGTTGTTTGTGGCACAAACTCTGAAAAGTCGGGTTTGACGAGGCAGCGCTTTCTGGGAGAAGTCCCATTCGCTGTCTGGGCTGTGTGTAGAGGGGGCAAGGGCCTTGAGCTGATGATGAGCCTAACCAGCCTGACTGTGACAGGATCACCCAAACCCTCTTTGCTGCATATTTTAACAACAACAACAATAATAACAACAATAAACGAACGAACGAACGAACGAACGAACAAGCAAATAAATAAATAAATAAAGCAACAAAACCCTGTCAATGTTCATAAGAAATCACTGCCAAGAACAGTATCCTGTCCAACCGGCGGCACCCGTGACAAACACACGCAAAGGCATGTCAACTGTTTACCTGAAACAAAACCACGGGAACATTTGGTACAGATGAATATGGTATTGCATCGGACATAGGTTTTATCACTGATGCGTCATATTAGATATTATCTTCCACATGTTTTCCAGAAAAGAAAATTAAAATCTCTTGAATGTAGAGGTCTAAGCTATGGTGAATATATTAACTTTTGGCTATATGTTCTCTATTTTGGTGTTTTGTGCGCAATCAGGGTATATTCACTGTCATTTTGAGCATATTCACTATCAGGGTTGGTATGGTCGTTATCATTTCCAAATTCATGGTAGAATAGTCGTTATCACGTCGGAATGTTCACTGTCAGGGTTGATATATTCATTATCACAGTGGGAATATTCAATGACGAGGTTGGTATAGTCGTTATCACAGGGGGAATATTCAATGACGAGGTTGGTATAGTCGTTATCACGTGTTGCGAGGGGTCATGTTTATTTTTCATTTTTAGGGGATGAGCTTTTTCACTTCTTCATAAAAGAGAGCTCAGATTTGTTTTCATTTCAGATTCAACCTATGGAAAGAATGTTATATATGTATTACTATTCACTCAAACATAATGGCTGTTTATGAATATATTTTATATTATATCTGTGTCAGAGTCAATTTATAAAGGAAATATCACTGTATAGCGTTACATTGACCAAGATCTCCGCCCTGTTTTGCTTCCGTTCTTGCAACAGAATCCCCGGAAGTTATTTCACCAACACAAGGCTTCATTCAACGTCTTCCCTTGGTCAGCACGATCACCAGATTTATCTCCTGCAGAACACTTGTAGGATCACCTTAACCGTCATATTATTGATAGAATAGCGTTACAAGCATACTGTATGTGATACTCATGTCCATTGTCAAAGATAATGATTTAGTCTCAAAATACCAAATGTTTCTTTTTTGATGAGCATGGCCATAGTGAAGTCGAGATTTTATATTTAGGCTGGGATAAAAAAAAGGGAGATGAAGGCTGTGTTTTAAAAAACAAAAGATAGGAGCTTCTTTTTTTCAAAGGTCCCCGCCCCTCATTAAAACTCAAATGGGTCGCCGCTTATTATTATTTAAGATCGGTACATTCTCAGTAGGGACCGGTATATTCTCTAACAATGTCCATCAATTGGATTTCAGGAACTACGTTCATATCATCCGTGGAAGAAGGTATCCTCAAGGCTGTCCCTTCGGTCACGTCTCAGCTGCTGAAAGACCCCACCCCCCTCCTTGACATCGCCCCCGCCAGTGACATCGTGACCTTCTTCTCAGGACCCTGCGTCTACGGCTACAAGCCGTCCCCGCCATGGTGGGTCTTCGACCTTGGGGAGGAAATGAAGGTCATGAGCATCAGCGTCAAGAACACCGGGAGCTGCTGCGGTCAGTGCACGTCTACTGGTGTCCCCCATCTTCACGAGGCTAGAGCGTTAACTGACCACAAAAGTCCATTTCCCACCCTTGCCGAACTAGGCTGGAATTATGTAGTTTTGTATTTTGGCTGGACTAACGAGTCTGTGCATACAGCAATCAAAATCGCGTAACGCAATCAACATGTTGTGCAGATTTCGGTCGATTGCAGGATTCCCAAAGGATGTCTCCCGTCAACTTAGAGTCAAAAGATATTTTCCAAATCTTTTCCAGTTTTTTAATCAAGGTGCTAACGTAATTTGCTACACTTATTTGATGCACAATTTATTACAATATCGATACTGATTGTCTCCACTGGACGCCGCCATTTTGTTGGAAGCAAATGCAAGTGACATTAGAGGTGGAATCTTATTGGTCAATAGTAGGGACATAGAAGGGACATAACTCGTAATAGCCACTGGTGGCACTACGATTGAACCCGGAAATTCCGGCATAGTTCTGCAAGGGTGGAAACGTCTCCCAACGTCTCACTCCACATAGTAAATGGTTCTTATTCTCGTGTTTATCAAGGGGGCGGTGGGGTAGCCCATTTCAGGTGTCCCCTGCCGTGATAGCTGGAATATTGCGAAAAGCGTCGTAAAACCATACTCATTCAGGTCAACGTAGTAGTATAGCCCAAGTTACCTCCCCTACTGTTGTATTTAATTAATGGTATTTTTTATGATTATAAAATCATATTCGGGACTTGTAAGACCTGGAAAGAAATTGTTTGCTTTTCAGATCCTTGGCTTGGCAACTTCACTGTGGAGGTTGGGAACCGGCTGTCAGCCGACAACGAGATGTACGGAAGCGAGGTCTGTGTGAAGCAGAGCGGCAAGGTGCCCCCTAACGTTACAGTCTCACATCCGTGCGTCACGCCTGTCCGGGGCCAATATGTCAAGCTGACCTCCAAGTGCGTAGACCTCTTCGGGAGCGTCCTGTCCTGTGACCTTCACGTCCACGCCGTGCCCTCGCTGACCCCTGGGCGCAAGTCTGCGGGTAAGATCTTATAATCGTGGGTTCGAATTTGAGACTAACCCAGATTATGGTTTTAGGTTTGTCAGCACCATACCCATTGTAAAATCACTTCGGGCATTCGCCTCACATTAAGTTGACATACCAGAATACAACTTAAATATTTTTAAAAGCGGCGTTAAACCAAACTCACTAACTTTAATTCCACAGCAATGTGGCAGGTGCCTCTATGTGAACAACATCCTTCAGTTTGTTTGTTTCTGTTGTTGTGTTTTGTTTTTTTGTTGTTTAACGCGGCACTCAGCAATATTCCAGCTATATGACTGCGGTCTGTAAATAATCGAATCTGGAGCAGACAATCCAGTGAGTGACATCATGAGCATCGATCTACGCAATTCGGATACGATGACATGCATCAGACCACACGACCCCCTTAGTTGCCTCTTTCAACAAGCATGGGTTGCTGATGAAGGCACACAAGAAACCTATGATTGTGGGTTCGTATCCCGGATCGCCACGATTATGTTTCAAGGTTTGTCAGCACCATACCCGTGTTCGTGGGTTTCACCGAAGTAGTAAACGTCGACCAGCATCATTTCGGGCTTTCCTCCAACGCCATGATATAACTGGAATATTGTTAAAAGCGGTGTCAAGCCCAACTCACTCACTCACTCAAGTGATTACCAGATTTTCTTCTAAATGCAGTGTTTACACAGTACCAGAAGTCCGCACCAGAAGGAGGCTATGACCTTGGCTGTGCCCGCCAGTGTATGGGTGAAGATACGTGTGTCAGGTTCAGCGTGAGCAGCTCAGGGCAATGTGTGCTGTATGACCGCCAGCAGAACGCAGCCGATGAAGGCTACTCCTTGTCTCACATCAGCCTGTGACACGATCATATCGGTCTGAGACGTTGATCATATCTGTTTGAGACATGGATCATATCGGTCTGAAACGTGGATCATATCGGTCTGAAACGTTGATCATATCGGTTTGAGACATGGATCATATCGGTCTGAAACGTGTATCATATCGGTCTGAGACGTTGATCATATCGGTTTGAAACGTGGATCATATCGGTTTGAAACGTGGATCGTATCGACCTTAGACGTTGATCATATCGGTTTGAGACACTGATCGTATAGATCTCATATACTGAACAACAAAAGTTCCTGTGACATTGAATGCAAAGTTATGTTTTTTACCAAATCTGAAAAAAATTCGGTTTGCAACAGATAAAAAGACTCAAATGGTTCCATTTGCCATACTGACTTCAGAAAATGCGTGATTTCATTTTAAAAAAACATGAACATGCCAAAATGTCAATTTAAAAATCAATAGCGTGTGTGTCTACTTGAGCATGTTTCGAAGTTCCTTGAGTGTCTTTGGAACACGTGGTTGACGTCGAAGGCGCCGATCCATCTCATCCCACATCTACCACTATCAAACGGGTCCTCTGTCTTGCTGTAATCTCACCCCATACCATAACGCTGCCGCCCGCAAACCGATCTTCTTCCATGACACAATGATTGACGTAACGTTCACCTCGACGTGGGTACACTCGAATCCGTTTATCGCTCTGGCTGAGGTGAAAACGAGACTCGTCAGTGAATAGAACTTGTTCCCCACTGCATGGCCGTCCAGCATAGACGCTGTCTGCACCACTGTAGACGTGTTTGACGGTGGTTTCCTGTCAAAATGGGACGTCTGGCGGGTCTTCTGGCGACAATCCCTGCACATCTGAGGCGACGACGTACGGTTTGTGAAGATATTCGTCGAAGGCCAGGGATGCTTCTTGCAGTCACTGTTGCTGGCTGGAATCGATTTCGTAGGTGTGTTGTTCGAATCCACTTGTCTTGTCGATTATTGGTTACGCGTGGCCTGCCACTCCGAGGATGGTCTCTGACTGCATTCGTCTGTTGCCAACGTTGCCATAAACACCAAATGGTGTACGTTAAATTGTCTTGCAACATCACGTTGAGTCGATCCTGCTTCAAGCATACAAGACGCGCATTTCGTAATGTTTAATAATTGCGTAATTTTGTTGTTTTTCTGAGTGGTTGTTGTCAAGCACAATGCTAAACAATGCATATGGAATCCCGTTAACGCACGTGTTTTATACCCATTCTTTGGTAGTGAAATGCATGGGGCTTGCATAAAAGTCATCTTTTGCATGGAATGCATGCTTTTCTGTAGCAGTTGCGTTTTTGTGACTTGATTCCATACATGTACTACAATATTGAAAACCAAACTTTGACCGTTTGAAGAATACAATAAAATATTGGTGTCGCAGGAACTTTTGTTGTTGAGTATATTAACAAAACTTTGACCGATTTTTTTCATTGTTACATTATTATTACAATTGAACAGTTTTTGCACATTAAACGTGTTTTGAGCTTAAGTAGTAATTAACATATCGTTTTTTGTTTCAACAAAATCAGTAAACGGGCTATCGTGTCACTGGATTATCTGGTCCAGACTCGATTGTTCACACGCCGCCGTCGGATGTCAGTACTGTTGTGCGGTGTTAGGCAACATACATATTTTATTTTCCTGCAAATTCTGTGAGTGACGCGTGCTGTCGGTAGAGGACAAGCATACATGGTGTCATCACTGATTTTCAAGACCCATCGCATTTTGGGTCGCCTTTTGGTCCACTGGAAAGTGTCTCGGCGGATAATCGAGATTGATTTTACTCTGGCGTTGATGTTTTAAGTTTAATTTTCCAACAGTCACAACTATTTCATCTTCAACTTATCGTGATTAATAGTCACAACAAAGTTGATATCCTTGCACGTTTGTTATTGTGTTTGTTTAACGCCGCACTCAGCAATATTCCAGCTATATAACATATAATCACTGCATAGTCTGGTCCAGACCGCCGAGTGCGGCGTGAAACAAACAATCAAATTCGTGAATATCTTGTCAAACGACCGAACTGTTATGCTCAGGCCGACGCGCCTTGTGGGTGGACTTCATCGATCTGACGATGAAGCTTAATGCAAGAGGAAATGGCAACATAAATAACTATAATCAATATGAATAACTATCTGCTATAACTGACACCACTTTTATGCCAAATAAAAATATGTATAATTACTGACACTCTCAGAATAGCAGTAAACCGGTAGTTTAGACACGCGGAGGCAGCAGTAGTTAGCCACCTGTAGACAGCAGTAGTTAGCCACGTGTAGACATCGGTAGTAAGCCACGTGTAGACATCAGTAGTTAGACACATGTGCCGAAATAGGCGTCAAGTCCCGACTTGCCATTTGGTTGGCAGGTGAGGCCTGGGTGGCAGTCGCACCACTCCCCGGGGTTCCGCACAAGACATTTGCCCCCGGACGTCGGGACCGTCTTGCACATGGTCGTTATTGCGGGGTGGGTGTTCTGCAGCAGGGAGGAGTCAATGGGCTGCAGCACCTGTCGGCGCCCGTGGACGGGGGTGTAGAAGTGGACACAGCACTGACCGGCGCCACATGTCGGGGTGCACGTGAACGTCTGAGGCTGACCGAGAAGCTGCTTCAGACTGGACAGGTCAGTCACAGAGGCGCTCTGCAGGGATGAGTGATTGAATGGTTGAACGTGTAACACATATATAAATGCTTCGTTTAAATTTGTATGGAACAAGAGAGATGCGAAGACTTCATAGGAAATTATCATTAGATGATGTAGTAGAATTATTATTAAAAACAGTAGATGCAGCACTTTCTAGTGTTAATGATAGTGTGCAACACGTTGCTGAAGCTTTATGTATAGCTGCTGAGAATATGAAGAAAAGGTCCAGCAGCACTAACTACAACACAGCAAATCCAAATACATTGTAATAATGGCATCCAGCTTCACCCCGAAAGTAGTAAAGATATTTCTCCTTTATTTGCCGATGATATAGTAATGTTTTCAAGCACAATACCTGGTCCACAAAAACAAATTAATGAATTGGAAAATTATTGTCAAAACTGGGGTTTGTCGGTAAACCACAATAAAACAAAATATATAGTTTTCAAGAAAGGTGGCACTTTATCTAAGAGAGAAAGATGGTATTACCAAGGAAATGAACTAGAATGTGTATCTAGGTGTGTATTTTACAGGCTGTCATGGACTTTGTATGCACATACTTCTCCAGCACAAGCAGAACAGATTTTAATTGGAATTCTTCAAAATATTAAAATACTTGCGGATATTTCGTACACCACATTTTTTAAATACTCGTTTCACAAATAAGTACAATTTTACGAGATGGAGCCGAGATTTGGCGTATGGAATTATACGATTCAGTGGAGAAACTACATCTCTGCGCGTGCACGCGATTCCTTCGTGTTAAACCTAGCACCCCAAGTTTAATGGTGCATGGTGAAAGAGGACGATATCCCTTACATATGTTTGCAAAGATTAAAGTATTTAAGTATTAATACATATGTCATTTGAAAGGTACCCGAAGAAATGTAATAATATGATGCTACATTTTGACGCACAGGGTTTTAATTGCGTAACTAACGTTTGAAACCTCTTTTGGCTACGGAAACATAGGGTTAAATCACCATAATGGCATATCACCAAACTTTATTAATAATTTCGCAAACCTTGAAGGACATGTACGTTCAGAATTGGCATGCGTCTGTTTCATTTTCGAGTAAAATAACGTGCTGTTCTTTGTTTAAGAAACGTTTTGTTACTGAGCAATATTTATTGATTGTAAACGTTAGTAAATTTAGAGTACAACTGGCAAGATTGCGTTGTAGCTCACATCAGTTAATTATTGACACTGGAAGATAAGCAGGTAAAAACGTGAAAACAGGGATTTGTCAGTGTTCCAACTTGGAAAAAGTAGAAGACGAATACCATTTTGTTTTTGTTTGCCCTACATACTGGGAGCTACGACGTAAGTATATTAATGTTTAGAAATTCTCCTACTCTATTAAACTTAAGTATACTCCTGTCAACTGAAAATGTTATACATTTGCGGAACTTATCAATGTACGTATTCACGCTATGAACTTTAGACAATCTGTTGGATACAATTTTGTTCGTAATGCAAGACACTCACTACTGAAAAAAATGTGATGTTCTATAGGCCTGTGAAATAAAAATTGATAAAGAATGGTTGAATGTTGAATGGTTGAGTGACGAGTTGATTATTTTCTCATTTTGGCTAAATCCATGAGTGAGTGAGTGAGTTAGTGAGTGAGCGAGTGTCTGTCATCACGGCGTATCAGATTACTGTGGAAGAAACATTCAGACGCAGCTTAGCGCCGGCTCCACTCAAACCCAAGAACACGTGAAGGGATCATAGTTAGATTCGAACCAAAGATCAGTGGATCCTGTCACGCCTAAGAGACGCAACCCCGGAACCACAGGCGATTGCGCCACCCGTGCTGCCCTTTCCTAATAAAGTCAATTTACAAATACCTGAACGCCGACGACAAGCAGACACAGACAGACGACAGACGTGTAGATGGTCCCAGCTGCCTCCAACTCAATGGGAGCGAGCACACCGTGGAACGTCGCGAGATAAGAGAGCGGCATTCGTGACCCACTCGTGTTATTCCAGGACAAGCCGCATTCGTGACCAACTCGTGTTATTCTGGGACAAGCCGGGTGGCGACCATCATGGCTATTTTTGCGACCTGGTTCCGTCTTAGCGCAAGCGGGCATACCTAAAACAATTGTCAACTCGTTGCGTAATGGTTCACATATATATCCCCATAAATTATATAAATTTCAGATGCAATTTAAAGCATATCTAGACAAGCGGAATTATACAGCATGATTGAACACATTTTACTGTGTCTTGGGTATATTTTTAGATGCAAGACATCAAAAATCAAAAAAATATTTCCGAGGGATTCCTTGACGAAGAACTTGAGATCATGCGCGCATTCTGACTGGTTTGTCGTATTTTCGCACATAACATTCATCGATAGGGGGACGAGTCTTCTTGCAGGTTACGGAAAGGGGCGAGTGGTGGCGAATGAAGAGATCGGGAATCAGCAGGTGCTCCAAGTTTTTTATTTAGACGAAGGTGCAGGTGGTCGATTGGAATATCATAAGGACAGTGCTAAACGCCAGTCAGGACAAACGTATGGTTGTGTCTGGTGACGCAAATCAGTTATGTATATTGTATGAATAGATCACTAGAAATCTGATGATATTAGGTGTCCCACCAACTAACACAGTAAACAGCCCCGTACAAAACTAAAGGTATCTGAATGCCCTACCTGTGTCCGCACTCTACACACAGTAAACAGCAACACAGATACTGTGAGGTATCTGAATGCCCTACCTGTGTCCGCACTCTACACACAGTAAACAGCCACACAGATACTGTGGGGTATCTGAATGCCCTACCTGTGTCCGCACTCTACACACAGTTAGCAGCCACACAGATAACTGTGAGGTATCTGAATGTCCAACCTGTGTCCACACTCTACACACAGTAAACAGCAACACAGATACTGTGAGGTATCTGAATGTCCTACCTGTGTCCACACTCTACACACAGTAAACAGCCACACAGACAACTGTGAGGTATCTGAATGTCCTACCTGTGTCCACACTCTACACACAGTAAACAGCCACACAGATACTGTGAGGTATCTGAATGTCCTACCTGTGTCCACACTCTACACACAGTAAACAGCCACACAGATACTGTGAGGTATCTGAATGCCCTACCTGTGTCCGCACTCTACACACAGTAAACAGCAACACAGATACTGTGAGGTATCTGAATGTCCAACCTGTGTCCACACTCTGCACACAGTAAACAGCCACACAGATACTGTGAGGTATCTGAATGTCCAACCTGTTTCCAGACCCTGCACACAGTAAACAGCAACACAGATACTGTGAGGTATCTGAATGTCCTACCTGTGTCCGCACTCTACACACAGTAAACAGCCACACAGATAACTTTTGGGTATCTGAATGTCCAACCTGTGTCCAGACTCTGCACACAGTAAACAGCCACACAGACAACTGTGAGGTATCTGAATGTCCTACCTGTCTCCGCACTCTGCACACAGTAAACAGCCACACAGATACTGTGGGGTATCTGAATGCCCTACCTGTGTCCACACTCTACACACAGTAAACAGCAGCACAGATACTGTGAGGTATCTGAATGTCCTACCTGTGTCCGCACTCTACACACAGTAAACAGCCACACAGATACTGTGAGGTATCTGAATGCCCTACCTGTGTCCGCACTCTACACACAGTAAACAGCAACACAGATACTGTGAGGTATCTGAATGTCCTACCTGTGTCCACACTCTACACACAGTAAACAGCCACACAGACAACTGTGAGGTATCTGAATGTCCTACCTGTGTCCACACTCTACACACAGTAAACAGCAACACAGACAACTGTGAGGTATCTGAATGTCCTACCTGTGTCCACACTCTACACACAGTAAACAGCCACACAGACAACTGTGAGGTATCTGAATGCCCTACCTGTGTCCGCACTCTACACACAGTAAACAGCAACACAGATACTGTGAGGTATCTGAATGTCCTACCTGTGTCCACACTCTACACACAGTAAACAGCAACACAGATACTGTGAGGTATCTGAATGTCCAACCTGTTTCCAGACCCTGCACACAGTAAACAGCCACACAGACAACTGTGAGGTATCTGAATGTCCTACCTGTGTCCGCACTCTACACACAGTAAACAGCCACACAGATACTGTGAGGTATCTGAATGTCCTACCTGTGTCCACACTCTACACACAGTAAACAGCCACACAGACAACTGTGAGGTATCTGAATGTCCTACCTGTCTCCGCACTCTGCACACAGTAAACAGCCACACAGATACTGTGGGGTATCTGAATGTCCTACCTGTGTCCGCACTCTACACACAGTAAACAGCCACACAGACAACTGTGAGGTATCTGAATGTCCTACCTGTCTCCGCACTCTGCACACAGTAAACAGCCACACAGATACTGTGGGGTATCTGAATGTCCTACCTGTGTCCGCACTCTACACACAGTAAACAGCCACACAGATAACTTTTGGGTATCTGAACGTCCAACCTGTGTCCAGACTCTGCACACAGTAAACAGCCACACAGATACTGTGGGGTATCTGAATGTCCTACCTGTGTCCACACTCTACACACAGTAAACAGCAGCACAGATACTGTGAGGTATCTGAATGCCCTACCTGTGTCCGCACTCTACACACAGTAAACAGCAACACAGATACTGTGAGGTATCTGAATGTCCTACCTGTGTCCACACTCTACACACAGTAAACAGCCACACATATACTGTGAGGTATCTGAATGCCCTACCTGTGTCCGCACTCTACACACAGTAAACAGCAACACAGATACTGTGAGGTATCTAAATGTCCTACCTGTGTCCACACTCTACACACAGTAAACAGCCACACAGATACTGTGAGGTATCTGAATGTCCTACCTGTGTCCACACTCTACACCCAGTTAGCAGCCACACAGATAACTGTGGGGTATCTGAATGTCCTACCTGTGTCCACACTCTACACACAGTAAACAGCCACACAGACAACTGTGAGGTATCTGAATGTACTACCTGTGTCCACACTCTACACCCAGTTAGCAGCCACACAGATAACTGTGGGGTATCTGAATGTGCTACCTGTCTCCGCACTCTACACACAGTAAACACCCACACAGACAACTGTGAGGTATCTGAATGTCCTACCTGTGTCCACACTCTGCACACAGTAATATAGACGATATACTGCATCTGTAAAGCCATGGCTAGTTGACATAGAACAACGTACAATCCATGGCCGGGTGTATACTGCATCTGTAAAGTCATGGCTAGATGGCATACAACAAAGTACAATCCATGGCCAGATGTATACTGCATCTGTAAAGTCATGGCTAGATGACATAGAACAACGTACAATCCATGGCCGGGTGTATCCTACATCTGTAAAGTCATGGCTAGATGGCATACAACAACGTACAATCCATGGCCAGATGTATACTGCATCTGTAAAGTCATGGCTAGATGGCATAAAACAACGTACAATCCATGGCCAGATGTATACTGCATCTGTAAAGTCATGGCTAGATGGCATACAACAACGTACAATCCATGGCCAGATGTATACTGCATCTGTAAAGTCATGGCTAGATGGCATAAAACAACGTACAATCCATGGCCGGGTGTATCCTACATCTGTAAAGTCATGGCTAGATGGCATACAACAACGTACAACCAATGGCCGGGTGAATACTGCATCTGTAAAGCCATGGCTAGATGACATAGAACAACGTACAATCCATGGCCGGATGTATACTGCATCTGTAAATTCATGGCTAGATGACATAGAACAACGTACAATCCATGGCCGGGTGTATACTGCATCTGTAGAGTCATGGCTAGATGGCATACAACAACGTACAATCCATGGCCAGATGTATACTGCATCTGTAAAGTCATGGCTAGATGGCATAAAACAACGTACAATCCATGGCCGGGTGTATCCTACATCTGTAAAGTCATGGCTAGATGGCATACAACAACGTACAACCAATGGCCGGGTGTATACTGGTTCTGTAAAGCCATGGCTAGATGACATAGAACAACGTACAATCCATGGCCGGGTGTATCCTACATCTGTAAAGTCATGGCTAGATAGCATAGAACAACGTACAATCCATGGCCGGGTGTATACTGCATCTGTAAAGTCATGGCTAGATGGCATAGAACAACGTACAATCCATGGCCGGGTGTATACTGCATCTGTAAAGTCATGGCTAGATGGCATACAACAACGTACAATCCATGGCCAGATGTATACTGCATCTGTAAAGTCATGGCTAGATGGCATAAAACAACGTACAATCCATGGCCGGGTGTATCCTACATCTGTAAAGTCATGGCTAGATGGCATACAACAACGTACAACCAATGGCCGGGTGTATACTGCATCTGTAAAGCCATGGCTAGATGGCATGCAACAACGTACAATCCATGGCCAGATGTATACTGCATCTGTAAAGTCATGGCTAGATGGCATAAAAACAACGTACAATCCATGGCCAGATGTATACTGCATCTGTAAAGTCATGGCTAGATGGCATACAACAACGTACAATCCATGGCCAGATGTATACTGCATCTGTAAAGTCATGGCTAGATGGCATAAAACAACGTACAATCCATGGCCGGGTGTATCCTACATCTGTAAAGTCATGGCTAGATGGCATACAACAACGTACAACCAATGGCCGGGTGTATACTGCATCTGTAAAGCCATGGCTAGATGACATAGAACAACGTACATCCCATGGCCAGATGTATACTGAATCTGTAAAGTCATGGCTAGATGACATAGAACAACGTACAATCCATGGCCGGGTGTATACTGCATCTGTAGAGTCATGGCTAGATGGCATACAACAACGTACAATCCATGGCCAGATGTATACTGCATCTGTAAAGTCATGGCTAGATGGCATAAAACAACGTACAATCCATGGCCGGGTGTATCCTACATCTGTAAAGTCATGGCTAGATGGCATACAACAACGTACAACCAATGGCC